CAATAGCAATAAACACAGTGAAATTCTCGGCGTGTGCATACTGCTGTAATCTCCTTAAATCAACACAACATCCCCTCTTAACCGCAGCTCAGAATATGGCACTGGTACCTGGTGACAGACAAGGCTTTGAAGTGTCACTGCTTCAGTAAAAATATATTTTTTGAAGGAACAGAAGTGTGTCACTGGCATATAACTGCAATGAAACTGAGTTAAACATCTCCAGTTATATATTATTAATCTCTGGATATCACATATGTGACAAGAGATATGCTACACTGCAGACAGTAAAGGGAAGAAAAAAGTACAAAAGATAAAAAAAAAGACAGGAATGAACATTGATTTTGTGGGCTTGTTGATGCCAGTGGTGAATCTACTGGTGATTTCAGTGGAATTAAGATTAGCTCCTGCTAATATGAAGCATGACAGCTGCACAATTAGAGTCCACTTCCCATAGCAAATAAAATGTACTATGTATTTAATACAAACCAGGCCTTCATGCAAACATGATCTGGCCATAAGAAATATTGCTCAGACCTGAGGTTGATTTTTCACCTCAGTCACAACCTTGAAAAGCCAGCCTGGCTGTAACTCCTGACACACACAGCGCACAAGCAGCCCTCTCCTTCATGTATCTGTCTCAGTTGAAATACCAGCAATCCAACCCTTCAAGGCTCTATATCCTTCTGTCCTGGCTCCTCACGTTCCCTTGCTATTACAAAACCAGGCCAGCCTCTCTTCCTCAGGGGAGACTTTTGCCTACACTGCAATTCCAATTCTGTCTGCTCCCACAGAACCATTTCCTTTTATTCACATTTGTCAACATCAAGAAATTGACCAGTAGAAGCTTTTGAGGAAAGCTATTATTTATAGTGCGTGCAATGTCAACCTCTTATAGGCTTGGCCAAGTTTTATTTGGAAGATAATGCACAAAATTGATAACATATGTTATAGAAAAATTATACATGTACAAGTGTATGTTCCTGACTTTTTCAGGGGTTGAAAAATTGCAGAGGTTGTGAGGAATTTGGACATACTGCAATTTATGATTTTTTCCTGCTTTAAAGCTTGAATTACATGCCAATTTTCTTATGAAAGTTATAATCTATTTCCTTCTAATTTATTCTTTAAAAACATTCCTACTCTTTATGGATCTCAGTCCTGTAAAGTTTATGAAGCAAATCCTCATGGAAACCATTTCCAAGCACATGAATCACAAGAAGGTGACTGGGAACAGCCAGGATGTTTTTTTAAGGAACAAATCATGTGCACAGTGACCAACTGCACTGTGGACAGCAGAAGAGCAGTGGATGCTGCATATCTTGCATTTAGCGAGAGCTTTGACACAGTAACCTGTAATATCCACAGTATCCTTATATACAAATTGGTGAGATATGGGCAGGAAAAGTAGATTAAGGTAAGTGGAAAAGTGGCTGCACCAAACATCAATGATAGATCAGTGGATTGTAGTTGGCATACAAAGCCCAGCAAACAGCCCAGCAAACAGCAATGGTGTCCATCAGGGATTGATCCTGGTACCAGTGTTACTTAAATGTCCTTATTAATGATCTTGGAGGTGAGATAAGCTGTACTCAGCAGATTTGAATACAATATTGGATTGGGAGGGATGGTTGACACCCTAGGGGCAAGGCTGCTATTTAGAACAATAGCAATAGACTGGAGAATTGGGCTGACAGAAGACTCAGGATGTTCAACAAAGGCACATTGCAATGTCCTGAATCTGGGTGGAATTTCATTTCATGAAATTTCATTTCATGTCAACAAAATAAGCTGGAGGCCAACTTAGCAGAGAACAGCTTTCTGGAAAAAGACTGGGAATTCTGGTGGACAATAAGCTTTTACTTGAGSTAGCAGTTTGCATTCATGACAAAGAAGGCCAACCACCTCCTGGCTTTCTTGGCAAGGATGTGACCAGTGACTTGAGGAAAGTAATTATTCACCTGTATTCAGCATTTGTAAGCTCTGGAGTACAATGTCAAATTTTGCATCCTACGATGCAAGCAAGACATTGACTCACCAGAGTGAGTCTAGTGAAGACTGATTGGATGGACTGGAGAAAAGAACATACAGGAAGAGGATGGCAGACCTTACATCTGTCTACAAGAATGTAATGGAAAGTTATAAAGAATATGAATCCAGAATCTTCTCAGTGGAACACAGTGATGGGATAAAACAAGCAACAGGCTCAACATGGAACACGGTTAAATCAATTAGATATTAGATATTTTTCACCATAAACATAGTCAAAGAATGGGACTGGTTTAGAGAGAATGGAATCTCCATCCTTGGAGCTGATCAAGACTTGGCAGTTCAAGACTGGCCCTGACCAGGAGATTRGACTTGATGACCTCCAGAGCTTCCTTCCAACCTAAATTATTCTCTGATTATACAGTGTGAGGAAAGTTTAAAAAACGTACAGATTCCAAAACTTTTGAAGATCACATGAGGTTCTTATAGATGTGTAATGAGTCTGGACCCTCCTTTTGGATATCAGGGACAGATAATGCTAAAAAAAGATGTGTGCAACATAGCGCCTACCAGGAATTAATGAGTGGTACACAGAGCTAGCAAAAGCAGATTAACAAAGTTGCCAGTCACAGGTTATCAGTTAGAAGTGAAGAGCACTCTTTGCTTGTGGTTATGAGGGTTGGATGGTGGGTTCCTATTTGTGACGGAAGTAGTTTCACAGTTTAGATTTTCAGTTAGCTCAGTGCAGAGTGTGTTGGATGGAAAGGAAAGACTGTGATATGCAACTGGTTTTCGCTAGTGTTCAGGTGGTCGTAACTCAGAGAAAGATACTATTTTCCAATATCACTGTGAGTTGCCATTTACATCATGATTACAACAGGCTGCTGCCCTGCTCTGCAGTAATTTTCGGTCTAGTTACTTCTTTATTACTTGAGTATTTCCTCACTATTAAAAAACTGGGTTCATCTGAGGACTTAAAATTGTGAACATCATTCTCCTTCCACATACTTTTACGTACCTCAGAGATAGCTAGTTATGACATTACTTGAAAGCACTTATTTAACACTGTGCTTTTTATAGCACAGGTGAAAGGTCATAAACATGAGACCATTTCAAAAGCATATGAAAGCAAATGTATGTGAGAACAGGTCATGGAAAATACTGTTGTAAAAGTGTGAATAAGACTTAAAGGATATTTCCAGACTATTACTACTGAGACTTAGCCTGTCAAAGTAGAAAGCTAGTAACATTTCACTTTGCCAATTTATTTCTTGGCTGTAGATTTTTTTTTAAACTTTCCTGTAAAATCATTATTAACTTCATGGTACAAAGGTTTGAAGTTATTATTAAGTTTTAAAATCATGAACTGTATCATACAAGTACAGTGCAAGGTAGCACTGCAAAATGCATACACCTTTGAAGTAGTTATAGTGGTTAGATTTGCATCTGACTTTCCTAAAATTGTGCTGATTTGCATTAGGTAAAGATCTGATTGCCTTTATATACATCTTATTTCAATCTGTGACAAAGAAGACAAATACGGTGAAGCAGTAAAGGTTTTCAGGAATTCTTTATCTCAGCAGTAAAATATACAAAAAAGCCAGGTCTAGAGGATAACACCTTTTTTAGTATAAAGTGCGTATCTTATCTCTAAATGGCCCCCTGCTACAGGGAACTTCTGTGTAGCCAGATGTCCTGGACATAATAATAGCAATAATAATAATACCAACAATAATAGTAATACTAAAGGCTAGTTGTCAGCAGATAGATTTCTGAAGATAAAAAGGATAGTATCAAAATAAAAGAAATTCTGAAGGAATAAAAATCAAAGTATCTTCCTGTAAAAGTACAGTGAAATCTTTTTACAGTACCTTTGGAATAAACTGCTTCTGTGAACCTAAGCAGAGACAARCGTTCACTGGTTGAGGATGGATGCTTAACAGGGAAACACAGTGGTCAGAAATCCTAATCAAGGAACCACAGACAGCTCCAACACATCAATCATTGGGGGAAAAGGTGTACTAAGCTGGTGGTATGAGGGCTTGGTTTGGAATGAACTCATGTGACCTGATTTGGGGTGAATTCATGCACTGCATTTTTACATGTTTTGTGCCTTGAAGTCTTGAATTACTCTCCCCTGCCCTGCCAAGGGGACCCTGGCAAAATAAAAGAGCAATGAAATCAGAAGACAAGGCATAAGTAGATCCCTTCTTTTTCTTCTCTTTTCTTTTTTTCTTTTCTTTTTGTTTTCTTTTTCTTTTCTTTTTCTTTTTCTTCTTTGTTTTGTAGGACCAACACATTTGGCCTTTTTTTCTTTTCCTGCTGATCATAACTTGTGAGGGTTGGAGGGTAGGGTGTTTTTCTTTCCTTTCCTTTCCTTTCCTCTCCTTTCCTTTTTTTTTTTTTCTCTTTCATTTTTTCGTTTTTCCTCCTTTCTTTTTTCTTTTCAGCTTTTCTCTTTTCACCTCTGTTCTTGTTTCTTTTCCTTTCGTTTATCCTGCTTTCATTTCTCCTTTCATTTCTCCTTTTTTTTTCTGTTTCCTTTTTCACTCCTTCTCTCTTTTCTCTTTTTCCTGTTTATTTTTCCTCTTTCATATTTTTTTTAATTCTTTTATTTTGTCTTTTTTTGCCTCTTTTGTCTTTTTCTCCTTTTTTCTCTCCTTTTTTCCTTTTTTTTTTTTCTCTTTTTTTTTTCTTTTTCCCCCCCCCTCTCTCTCCCTCCGCCCTCATTTCTTTCCCCCTCTCTTTTCTGCTGTTTTCGATCACCGTTTCGGGACAGCCCTTACCGCGGGGGACAGCCCTTCGCGCACCTGCGCCCCCGGCCCCGCGCTTCTGAGAAAGGCGCCTCGCGGGCAGCGCCTTCACAGAAACGCGGGGGAAGCGGCGCGCGCGCGGCCGCCACCGGGAGCCTTCCCGCCGCGCCAGGGCGGAACGGGAAGCGGCGGCGGAGCGGGCAGGAGGCCGGCGGCGGCGCCCCGCGGAGCCGCGGCCGGGCGAGGGCTGAGGGGCGGCGCGGCCGCGACCCGCAAATCTGCCACCTCCTCGGTGAAGTTTGTGCCCCGGGGCTGCGGCCTCCCCGCCGCTTCCCTTTGGGACCCAGATTATTATTATTATTATTTACATAATAATTATTATTTATATATCATTATATAATACTTATATATAGTTATTTTAAATAAAAAAATAAAATAAATAGTATTTAAATATTATTATTATTTTTATTATTATTTAAATCACCAGGTCTGGAAAGGACTTATTCCCCCTCACTGACACTGGCTCCGGAGCAGGTACAACTCCCTAAATAACYGCTGTAGGTGGTGGCGGGAACAGGTCATTCCCAAAAACTTTTACCCACACTTCTGCTGCYCTGTTTAGGGAATTTAGTGCCATTTATTGCCACCTTTGCAATCAATGCTGCTGAAAAGAAAATTGCCAGATCAGCCTTCTCAGGTTTCCCCCCCCCGCCCCGAAGTCATTGGCTCACAAAATGACTAATTCTATTCTTCCTGTTCTGAGATTTTTTTTTTTTCTTTCAGATTGAGCTGTCTTTGCATGGTCTTGCTCTTTTAGAGAGGTTGCTCCCTGTTGCAGACATAAACTTATTAAGGTTGTTGAGGTACAGAAGGTTGGTTACTACCAGGTGTGTCTCTGCCTGGAGTTTGAGAGATTGACTCTACTGCAGGTGTCCTCCTGKCAAGATCTGCATCGTGAGTAACCACCTCCATTCATGTTGTTTGAAACAGAGATAGATCTCTATTTTAACCAATAAGCACTAGTCTTTGCAGTAAGTTGCTTTGTCTTAGTAAGGATATTGTAATTTTCCTTGTCTTTTTTTTTTTTTTTCTTTTTTCTTTTATTGAACTCTTGAATGAACTGCAGCACTGGGTGGTCCTGCGTGAAAAAGATTTCAGCTCCACAAAAATCTGTGCTTAAAGAGGTAAGACTAGTGCTTGAGAAGAAGTTATGTTTGTTTTTTGTTTGTTTTTTGATTTTAAAAAGGAAGCCACAATCCTTTGGGACCAATTCCTGTTTCCAGAAGTATTGACTGAAGTGAGTTGCTTGAGCAGAACTAAATATCACTCTGATGTATCAGCTCCTTTTCATTCCAAAGTATTGTTGGGATTCTAGGAAATTGAAGAATAATTTTAACAATGCTTAAACATGGACAATTATCTCTTTCATGAGATACCACTAATGACAGATTTTAAAGATTTTACAACCTGCAGATTTACAACCTTCAGAATTACAGATTTTACAACCCTCAGTTTAATTAAAGCATTATTGGATTCACAATGGCAGTATGAATTTTTTAGAACCATCTGTTTTTTTTGTATTAAAAGTCCAACAGTGGCTTCGAGTATGAATGACTTTTGAAAAACATGCTAAAATCACCTGTTGCTTTGGGCTTCACAGACAATTACTTTTTAAAAAACACTTTGAAACTGTTATTCCCCGCTGTTGCCATTGTATTTTACTTGTTGAATGTCTCTATATTCTGCTGTAATCCCTCCTTTATTGCACAGAGAATTTTTGTCTCTATTTTAAAATATCTCCTCATTTTTTTTTTTCTGAAAAGCATATTTTTTTTTTCTTAAGAAAACTTATATTTGCTGAGTTTTGTCAAGAATAGTTTTCTTTTTAGGTTTTTTTTTTTTCTTTCCTGATTTTTCATGGCAGAGGACTGCAAACCATGTGCTTCAAATGTAAATACTGAAATACTGTTAGTCTGAAGCAGAACAATTTCAGATAAACTGATGCAGCAGCAATGTGTGAGTGCAAAGAAGAATGTACATTTTCCCTGTTGGTGTCTGTAAACCTCWAATCTGATCATTACTAAGTATTTTACGTAATACAGTGTTATTTAATTCCTGTCAAAGGAATGAAGGGCTCTGCTGTGTGTTCACTAAAACCTCCCTTGTTATGCAAAGAAGGTATTCCAACAAAAATGAGATCTAGAGTTAAAATCTCGTTGTTTATGGTTTTATTTATATTTGATGGACCTTACTGTAATGATCTATAACAGCTGTATTTCTTTTGGATAAATTAGTCTTACAAGGGGAATAGTTAACAACAACAACAACAACAAAAAAGTAAATTCAAGAAGTGAAAATAAAGACGGTCCTGTCTTGCTTGTAGAATGTGAGACTTTGAGTCTTCACGTGTAGAAAGGAATCGAAACCAGGTCTGAGGAGTTTGCTGTGTGGCCACTTGAAAGTTGATGGTTGCAGCATCCGGTTTCTTTTAGATGTTGTCTAAATCTGGATCCATCTATCACCCATTTTGAGAAAGGGGATGTGATGTAGTTGTTTAATCTTCTTTCAGTGATTTATGGCATGAGGGCATCTTTGTAATGAATTGGGCAGCACCATAAAAGGAGAGCAGCTCCATGTCTTGGGGTCATTCTGTACCGTTGCTTTAAATGCAATAGTCACACCATCCGACTGCTTTTTATCAAGAGAAGTTTCTATTTGTAAATAAAATCTGGTGTTGGTAAGTATGTTCTCAAGCTGCAAGAGATTCAGGTAATAAAAACAAAGAAGTGGATTCTTAAAAGAGATTTCTTCTGTCAGCTGTCCATGAAACTTGTCTCTTATGAGCCCATCACATTTGTTGTGTGCGCATGGCCAGGTCAGTAACTGAGCAAGGTTGTCTGTCTTGGTTGGCAGCTCAACTGTGTTTCTTACACACCTTTGTCTTGTAAGCAAGACAGAGGCCCAGTTAGCACTGGCTGTGCTATTGGTTGTGGAAACCTATTTTTCTGAGGAATCTCATGGAAGATACTCCGCTCTGGTATTAATTAGTAGCATTTTGCCTTTTTCTTTGGAAGTTCAGTTTACTATACATAAAGTAACTGACCAGGAGCCTCTTCATTCTCCTCCCTCAAAGGAAACATTAGAACCTCTTGGTCATGGTACCTAACTGTTCTGTAGATTAAAACATGAGGCAGAGTTATAGATTTCTTTGTTTTCAAACAGGCTCAAGCAATTGAACGCCAAGGTATCCACGCTAACAACATTGTGAGGTTCTCCCTGAAGGCAAGCAAAAGTTTTGTCAGCTGTATTTCTGTAAGGTCTAATCTTGCAAGGACTGTGGGRTAAAAATATTGTCCTACTGAATGGTAGCTGTTTACTTACTCAGAATCTCATTTGGGGTACTTCTGTCATTAAGGTTGTAGCTTTAATTCGGAGAACACAAGGTATCTAATGAATGAGAAAAAGCAGGAAGGAAACCCTGCGTTACTTTCTGAAATTAAAATAAGTCATGCCTAGAAAAATTTGTGACCTAATATATGAAAATACCTCTTAGGATAAAAATGAGTAATTTTCCATCTGGAAATCCCTGTTCAATAACAACCATTATTTACACTGATCACAAGCTTTGAAGTGGTCCGTTCCATTGCCCTTGTGAGAAATTATGAATCTTTTTCTTAGGCTTTCGGTGCAATCAAGAGCAATATATTTTTCATCTTTATGGAGAAGAAGTGATAATTAACTCAAGAAAATGCCTCTTGTGATTTTTTTGTTAATGTTTATCACTGGATCTTCCACTGGTAAGTAAGTAAAAGTCCTCACTTCAACAGTAAATCTTTAAATATTTGCTGAAGAGTTGCTTAGAGTTTGCATACTGGGAGACAATCAGGCAAATGCTGGATTTTCTGAGCTTTGTTATCAGAAGTATTGAGAAGAAAGTCTTACTAATTTTGTTAATTGCAACATGGTTCTGATCTTTAGAAGCTTGCTCTGTGCATACATAACAAAAATTAAGAAAGAAAAAGAACCAAGATACTGCCAAGATACAGAAACAAGCTGGTAATGTTGTATAGGAGYTTGGCTGTATGGAGAAACACAGCAAGCAAGAGAATGAATCTGCTTTTTGTGTCTTTCAGAAGTACAGTCGCAATACATGTTAAATTATGATAATCTCTGGGAATCTCAATAGAAATAAAGGCTGAACCCTTATTTCATTCATGATTCTTTATAGTAGATCCTGGTCCTTTTCCTGCGTTTTGTATGATCGCCTGCATGCAAAGGTTACTTTTGGAAAAACAGACTTTGAGATTAAATTTTACTCATACAGTCTCGGTATGATAGAGATTTTTTTAAGTTATCTAAAGAAATATAGTCACTTAATAATATTAATTGAAAAGATGAAAAAATGCAAGTGTTAATTTATAGCATCTCTTTTTATGACAGTTGATCCATTTTGAAGATTAGCCATATTTGTCAAGACAAATCATATGTGAAGAATTTTTCTTTCCTCCTTCCATTTGTGGCAGCTGCTTTATTATAGAATGAGACCAGATTTCTGGTCTCCTTTCTGCCATCTGTGCTCATTTCATTCTGACACTTTTGGACTGAGAAAATCATAAGGAAAATTTTATCCTTTTCCTTTGAGTTTTGCTTGAGTAAGGTAGAATGCAGGCTTGGAGAAACAAATTCTCAGGTTGTGATGAATATTGCTGAAATATATGAATACAGCCAAGCTACTCTGCTGAAAGAATATATTTTTTCAAAAAAGACCAGTTGCACAGCATAACACAGTAAAGTCAGGCAGACCTCATTTTCTGAAATAAGTGTATGGCTTCCTAATGTGTCTTTTTTTTTTTTTTTTCCCCCCTTCTTCTGTGAAGAGAGGCTATGTCCCCTCCGTGCCTCCATTGATGTACTAGAAGGGGAATACTTTTTCCTTTGCTTTCCTGAGTTAACTCAAGAAAATGTTCAGAAAGCAGGATACTCAATAAACTGGTACAAAGAAAATGCTGGAAAGTGGAACTTGGTAAAAGAAACACACAGAATTGTTTCACAAAAGAATTTTCTGGAGTTTTGGCCAGCTGAAGTCAGTGACTCTGGGAATTACTCTGTCATTCGCAGGTGGGTAAACACATGTATGTCTGAAAATCTTGCCTTTGCAGTTGCTCATGAAGAAGACGATTTCTGTTCAGCTTCATATTGTTTGTGGCATGTGTGCAAAGTAAGTGCAAGGAAATGCATTGTCTATGGTGTCATTTTCCTTACCATTTCACAATATCCACAGAGCCAGATCAGTAGTTTTTACAAGCTGCTGTAGGCAGATGTCTCTTTTCAAAGCTTCATGAACTTTTGATAAAGGAGTTAACAGTTCTGTTGTTTTATGATTAACTACCTAAGCAAAATGAGTGATAGGCAACAGTTCTGTTGCCTGTTTTGTGAACCTGACCTATTTGTCCTTACTGTAATGGGTGGGACATTCATCCTTGCTTTAACAGGCGGGCGACAATCCRTGAGGCCTACCTGGTAGATTGATGGGACTGATTGTGTGGTAAGGTAGTGAAGTAAGAGTAGCATAAGTGAACTCTGCAAAGCTTCTCATAACTTGGAACTACACAAAGAACAAATGAAATGATTGGATTTGATTTCTTACTKATGTAGAACACCATGAGTAGCAAGAAAAAATAAGGTTGGGCTTTACTTGTCTGGGGTATTTTTATTAAATCGTGAAGAAAGAGCGTCAGACTAAGGACTAAATGAAGAGCTTYTTACAAGGAATTTTTAGGATTAACTTGCACCAAACCAGTAGTTTGCCGCTTGCAACTGAAGTAGCCATCAATTTAAAACAAAGTATTTTGTGTGTCATGCTTAATGCTTTGTGCTGTTTCTCAGTGAATATTTTTTATGTTCTTGCCCCTTTCTTAAAGGTTACAGCTTAGCTATGTGTCCATGATRCTGAAAAATGCTTTCCACATTTCTTTCATGACACAGCAAACACTAATTTGATAGGTTTAACCTAAAACTAAACTAATTTGGAAGCTAAAAACTAATGTATATTTTTCCATGTATCATTATTATGAGCAAAAATAGTCATTTGTATTACTCATTATTCATTACTCATTCATACATCTTCATTAGTATTTACACATTATTATTTATTTGCACATTACTTTCTGTTTTAAGTGATCAGTGTTAGGCCACTCTTGCATCAAACATAGGTAAAGCATGAGCCAAGTTTTGCTAGTGTATTTCAGACTAGATCTTCAGGGAGCTGAATTTAAGGATGATAAATACGGTAGTTTGGCTGCTGTCCGCTGTTACTAAGAGTAATGCCAGCAGCAGTAGGTCACTGAGTCAGACTTCTCTATGAAGCGGCAGAAATGAGGTTCAGTTTTGATGCTTAAGGTTGGCTTTAGATAATAGCTGACACACATTTGTCCATTGTTGTGGGCATGCACTTTTCATGGAAAATCTGAATTTGTTTTTTATRGTTTTATTTTGTCATTGGCAGTTTTGGTCATTACCCTACACAGTCACTTCACTAAATACAGTGCTAAAAATTGAGGTACATCTCATATATTTTCATTCATCTTTTTGYTGATTTTCAAATATTGTATTTAGACCTGAGTATAAGCTGTATTGGAGATGGTTTATTAGAAAGCTGATAACTGTTTTGGCAGTTTTGGTGAACAGAGTGTTAATTATACTGTGAAGTTTCAAGAAAAATAAGATAATACAATGTGAATAGCTTTTGCAAAAATTTAATCAAGTACCTTTTTTCCTGTTTTTTTTTTTTTTTTTTTACAGTTGACTATGTTCAAGAAGAGAGAAGTGAAAACAGTTTATTGATATATTTATGGTGCATTATCCACCTTTTTAAAATATATATATAAATATATATATATACAATATATATATTTATATATATATTTTAAAAAGGTGGATAATATTGTATATATATATATTTATATATATATTATATATATATTATAAATAAATATCTATTTATATATATAAATTAGATATATTTTTATATATATTTTATATATATATATATATATAAAAAACCGTAACCTTTCCAGTTAAAGCAGAAGTGTCCTGCTGACACATAGCATAGATAGCTAAAGTGTGTGCATATGTGTGTGCGGGTTTGTGTAGACTTCATCAGTAAGCACAAGCTTGTATATCTCCAGCAACATTTCCTGAAGAAGATTTTATGTGTATTTGGTGTGACAGTGGTAAGCAAAATCTGTGTCACAGATATCACACATCTTTGTGAGGATTTGTTGCTTGTGTACTTTTTTATGGCCCATATCCTGTGGTTCTCACAAAGAAAAAGAAAAAAAAAAAAAGGGTAAAACAGGTCATTTTACTGCTCTATAGTAGGGACCTTGAAACTGAGTTTGAGGACCTCAAAACTTACAGGTTTATGAAACAACAAATATATGGAAAGATGAGATATGTATTGAGGCTCTAATACTGCTCACGTTTGTAATGTAACCAGAACTGTTGAAAGCAATGGGAAGACACTTTTTTAGATTTTGTTTTCTACTTTGTAAGGGATGACCTAGACTTGGATATGTGTTTAGGCTTTATGGTAAACTTGCATTTTCTGCTCTAAGTTGAGTCAAGCTAGTGTTTGTTGTTGGCCATTTGATGGGTTTGAGAGGAGTATTGAAAGGCTGTTGTGCCAGAATGTGCCAGAAATGGTTTTGTTCCCCTCATGATGTGACCAGGGAATGTCAGTTGCTGTAAATCAGAATAGAAAAGTAACTCGGACATCATCATGTTTTGTGTGAACCAATGTACATGTCTACATCCGAGCTAGTTATCTGAGGTACCTTTGTTGTCAGGGAGAGGTGGGCATTTCTGGGGCAGATTATCTTGTCCTAAAACAGAGATACAAAACAAGTCTCATAAACTGCATTTTAACAGGGTGACTGGTCTGGGAACCTACWGCAGATTGTGATCAGTGGCTCTGATTTAAAATTGTAACTGTGATATTGCAGAATAGATGAGATAGCCTCTGCCAACTGAGAATACCCCTGCAAATASCTCTCTGGTGAAAACGTTTTGCTAAGGCTTTTCCTGTTTATAACACCATAGTTAACTGATGAAGAGGCGAGACCACTGTTTGGCTTAGCTAACAATGCAGCCGAGAGTTGTGAATACCTMAAATGAGGGAGCAGAGCAAGGAGAGGCTCTAGCATCTGCTACAGTCTCTCCTTGCTAGRAAGGACAAAAAAATCTGCTAGAAAGACAAAAAAAGAGAGATATTCATTATATAAATTCATTGTATAAATGATGTCCTAGTTGTTCTGACTCTTGTCAGAAGAATATGCCCTGCAAGAGGCATATTGCACAAGAATGGTGTTGAAAGTCAACACACTTACCAGTCTTGTTTCTGCATTTCGGTGTCTTTTTCTCCCTGGTTCATTTCAGTGAAATGATTCTTTGCCATTGTTTAGTTTCAGTTCCCCTGGGAACAATTCCTTTTTCTTTTTTTGGATATGGAAAAGTTCAAACCTATTTATACAGATAAACCTGAAGCCAGAGGGAAGTGCTCTGTGTTTAATGCTCTGTGTTTAATGTCAGACCCTACTCCTTTAGGAAAAGAGGAAAAAAAAAAAAAAAGAAAAGAAAGCTGTGGTTTAGATGTTATTTTGGAAGTCTCATCCACTAACTTGCAAGGAAGGGAAGGGAAAGCATACAGCTTTCCCTTAAGCCCTCACTTCACCAAAACTCCTCCAGCTTCTGTTCTCCTGATGATCGTGTATTCAAACATACCCAACACTGAAATAACTCATAGCTATAATCTTAGTTTTTAGAGAAGTAGGTTGATAGCACATAATAGATGTCTGGAAGATCACAGTCAGCYCTTAAATAGTCAGAAGAAGCATGGTTAGAGTGCATTTGTTGTCTGAGCTTTTCAACATGTTACACTAGAATTTCATGAACTTTGCTATGGAAGTGTTAGTTTCTGACGCTTAAGAGTTAGTTTYAGGTGGCCAGCAAACTGTAGATCTCTGATGCGTGAACACTGAATCACAAAGAAAGTTTGCAAATATCTTTTTTTTTTTTTTTTTGCAGGCTCTTTTGAATCCGTAATAATTGATTTTGCAATTCACGAGGCTTATGTGGTTTAGAAAGTATTTCCACAGATAAATTGATGATTTTCTTCACAGTATCAAACAAGGAGTAATGTAACTTTATGAACAATAGCAGAGATTCTTATCTTTTCATTTTTGACATTTATTAACAAATAATATTTTTGCTTACTTCTTTAAACCTTGAAAAAGATTTAGAAAACTGTAGGTATTTTACCTGTAACATTACTGGCTGATTYGAGGCTCTAAAATGTTTATGTGCATTTGTAACTTTACATGACAACACAGATGCTTGCATTTTTGTTCTGGTGAATGTAATAGACTGTGCTATACTTCATAGATATAATTGTGTTATCAGTGGTTTTGTAATAGGTGATTTAGTTTAGATCCTTTTTCATTGTGTGAAACATATTTGGAGATGGAAAAGTAATGAAAGGGAATATAAATAAATAGTTCAATATTGACATACTTTTAACCCAACAGACTTCTTTAAGCATTTACTTTTATTTTGTTGTGTAACACACTAGGCCACATTCCTTAAAAATCTCGTAAGTTGATTTTGCATTTTTTTTCCTAGTGATGGAAAACAAAATATCACAATTCAGAAGTGGACCTTGAATATACTTGAAAGAAATAAAAGCAGCTGTTTCAATGAAAATCACTTAACTACAGAAATTAAAAATGCTGGAAGTGGTTATTCACTTAAATGCAGCGATCTATCTATCAATGAAAATGACAGTATAACGTGGTACAAGGTAATTATTCAAATAGTGTCATTCAAATCATTGGTTATAGAAATAAAACATTTGATGCAGGAAAAGCAATTTACAGGACAGATTTGTGGAAAGCAACTATAAAACTGGTAAATGTTACAAAGATTTTATTTCTTTGGTGATTGGGGAAAAAGGCTTTAGACACAAACAATTGACAGAAAATTTCTCTCTGATCTCAGATTTAGTAGAAAAATGTACCAGTAATCAGAAAGACCTTGTCAGTTTGAAAGTGGTAAAAGATCTAACATGTATACCAAGCATGGCTGGGGCTCAATCTATTGCTGGTAGAACACACAAATGCTAGTATTCAAGAATATTTTATTCATTCTCCCAGTAACATGAGCCCCAGCTTTGCTCCCTTGTCCATAAGGGCCTCAGAGGTTTTCCTCAATAAGGGAGCATCCCTCAGACTGACCTATGTCTTGGCTAAAACAAATGAACTGATGTCGTTCTCATGCCCAATCCTCTCTGAGATACATGGAATGGGAATGTCTATCCTTAAATATCCKCAGGGGCTTGGTCTAGTGAACGCATCCCAAACCCTTCTAATCACTTCGTGGAGATAAACAGGAATGGTGATAGGAGATTTTTTTTTTAAGTTTACCCAGTGGTAAACTTAAATTTCCTCCAGGAAATCTGGTGTGAGTGTCCTTTTTCTTTCTTAGTTGAAGGTGATTTAGACACGTATATTGCTGGGTTTTCATGGGACATTTCACTTAGCAGTTGCTTTCCATTCCCACTAAGATTTTCTGCCTTTGCAAAAAAAAGGTCTTAGGTTGTTGAAAATGTTAGAGAGGACAAATAGAAGTGAATCCAATTCCTTTCACTATATGAGAGGTCACTTTCTTAGACACTTTGCTTTAAAATAAAGGCGTTTAGTAGTCTAGACATCTTAGAAAAACACTTTTGGTACTAGACAARCAGCATCTACAGACCCAAACCATGGTTCCGGTGAAACAAATGAGTGCATTTAAAATCCTGATACCAGACCTTTGTAACTTTATGTTTTTATACCTTTCGTATTTTTATTTGGAATGCCAGTGCTCTCAGCTTCTGCTGAGTTGAATGTTGACATGTTGCATTTAAGTCACCATGTCTGAAAATTGAGCACCCACTTCTTTTAGGTCGGATAAATGTCACCATTGCTTTTTTACTACCTCACTGAAATTTTGTTTTGAAAATCATTTTGTCCTTCTTTGGGTTTTGAATGTATGTTTGCTCAAAAATAGTATTTTCTGTCTTTGTTAATTTAGGACTGTAAGAACTATCACAATAAAACTGAGCAGGAATTGGATTTTAAAACTCTAACATTTCAGCACTCGGGAATATACACCTGTAAAATTTCGATCACTAATGAGGGAAAGATATTCCACAGCACAAGTACAATTCATCTGGTAGTAAAGGAAGGTAAGAAAGCTTCCTGAAAGATTTGAACCGTATTCATTACCCCTGCTTATTATGGAAGAAACTGCCTCCTAAATTTATTTGTCTAGGGTTTATGGGTTTATCATTTATTAATTCCAGTTCTTAATAAATATATTTGATTTGCAATAGCTAACTTTAATAACGGCTAATTTTGAAAACTGAAATTACAGAGAAAACATACTAACTATATTTTTCCAAATTGATAGCAGGTAGTATAAATTTCTGGTTTTGCTTTTTCATCTTTGAAATTTTTGCAGAATGCGTCATTATTATGTATTTATAAAAACTGGAACTGGAAGAGTTTTGAGTGACAGGGTTTCCAACCTTTGTAAATTATAAACTGCACTCGAAAAACATTCATCAGGACATACTATCTTTTAAGCTTTAATCATGCCAAAGTGTTGGTCATATTGGTCCAGATATTTATTTTTGAATTAGATGAAATCTATGTGATTTGTTTTAGAACTAAAGCAAATGTATCATTTTTGCTGTGTTAAAATATAAGGAAAGTGTTATGCCAATACCATTATTATTATTATTTATTATTTATTTTTATTATTTTTTATTCTTAGATGTACCAGAAGTTGTAACTTTGGAGATACTTGGACTTGATGAAGAAGTTGAAACACAAATAGGTATCAGATTAGTACAAGAATCATTGACATAGTTACTGCATATATGTCCTTTTGTTCTGATCTCTTTATAGTTGAAAGTCTGTTTAAGTTTAATCAAACTAGGAATTGTCTTTGTACCCTCCTGGATCTGATCCATCTCCATATCTGGTTATGTTTTCTGGATGAATTTAATGATGAATATAAAAGTACAGTAAGTTCACCCTCATACAGAGACAGACGTTGAGGTTGCTGCTATGATCAGCAAGAGAAAAATGGTGGTTATTGTAAACCAGGTTTCCCTGGCTTCCTTTCATAGACAGTAAACGTCATGGAATGATGTGTGAAAGACGGCCAGTGTGTTTAGTGAATAATAATACAGGAAAATGAGAAGTGTGAGGGCTGACAGCAAGTACTACGTAAGTAAGTAATACAAATAAACAGATCTGTCACTGGAAAGAATTTATCACATATCAAAAGCCAGAACCATGCCTATATGTAGGGAATATAGGGAATGGGTTAGGAATATGATCTACTATTATMCCTAGATAATAGGCTCCCAGGAGTAGTGAACACCATCCAAGACTTTTGTGATTGGAACTCTTAATAATTCTTAAAAATATAAATTTATCTTTTTCCTGCTGTGTGCCATGGGACTTTTGCCATGGTGTTATCTAGTTCTCCATTTTTTGGTCTCCAAAATCACATATGGTGCCTCCTCTGTCACTCACATGCATGAGTTATTTTGTCAGCCAGGACCACAAGTGCTGACTTCCTACCAGTGCTTTCTTCCAAAGCCAGTATCCCAATCCTAAACTGCCCCATGTCTCCTAACTTTCCAGTAACCACTGCTCTTCCTGCCCAATTCTGCTCTCTGTACCTGATTCATGCATTTAGAAGGGAGCATGGTTCAACACCAAAAAAAGGGACTATGAACCAATTATCTGCCATCTCTTATATACTTTGGTAAAGTCTTTAGAGATTCTTTTTGTTGGTTTGTGTTTTTATTTTTCATTTGTTTTTTTTTCCCCTCAGAGAAACATCTAATGAGTGATAGCCAGATGACATGATGGAGAGTGAAGGGAAATTTCAGTGAGCAAAGTCCAAACCTCCATACCATTCATTGGTGTTCTATATTATTTCCCTGGAAATAACCTTTATGTAAAGTGGTTAGAGATACAGTTGCAAGATAGATTTTACTTTATATCTACTTTTCAACCTGTGCAACTATGATTTGGATTTGTAAGATGTGTAGATTTTCACCCGAATTATATCAATGTCTCTTGAATAGCTCYACTGGAAGCTTGTACTCTGAGAAGTTTTGGTCCATCAGTTTATAAAGTGATTCCTTTCRGAATTCTTTCCTTAGAGAATTCTCCTACATACAAGAAAACATGTGTACATATTTGTCTGAACAAAAACTAGCCCGTTGTTTTGTTGCTTAATAAGGATGCATTTTCTGCATTCTGGATGCATTTCTGCATTTTTTGGAACTGATGATGGCATAGCCTAGAAATGATGTTTTAAAGTTATGAATAATCTCAGGCAAAATTCTCATGTCAATCTTTGAAATAAAATGTCTTGAAAATCTCACACTCCAAGTTACAGTCTGCTGCCTGTACTTTTCTGTGTCTATGGTTGTCTTCTTACTTTTGTTTTTTGGTATGATTAGCAACACTGGAAGGAGTGGTTCCCTTCACTTCCACTTAGTGCTTTCAAGTGGTACAGGGCAGATGACTGGTTTATTCTGACATTCAGCATTATGGTGATTACTGACGTGTAATTTGACTCCTATAGATTGTAGTTTGGCTCCCTGATTGTAATTCCCTTTACCAGTTACCTACTTTCATTAACTTCTACTTCAGCACTGGTGGTATGTTGTCCTCTCTTGCTCTCTGCCTGCAACGTGTGGTTTAATTCTCTGAAATGCTTTGGCCTGTTTAAAATCTTCCCTCTGCTTTAGGTTTAATCTGAGGGGAGACTGGAATCTGGATGACCAGCTGTGTAATAGAGTGTGATAGAGCCCTGTGCACCAGGATGGCTGGAGCACATGCAAAACACTGCTTAAGGGCTACTAAGTCCAGAAGGGAGGACTTTTAGACTCCTTAGGACTCCTTAGATGTGTGGCCTGTAAATGCGACATACTGTGATCATGAATGCTACACCTGGCTAGATCTTAATTCTTATGTTTTGTTTAGGTAAAGAAGAGATACTCAATTGCACAGGTTCCTTGGGTTATTATATGCCAGAAGATGCTAGCCTTTACTGGTCAATTAACCAGACATTTCCAAAAAAATGTTCACGTATCCCTGAGAATGAGCCTTCAACATGTGAAGAAGAGTTCAAAAAACTACAGTAAGTTTCCAAAAGCACTGCACTTTTGTTTCTATGTATTTTGCTGAATGTAAATTAAATAAAATGTTTTTTTTTCTTGAGTTTTTTTCTCAAAATAAGCCTCACAATTGATTATAGATTTGCATAGAGACAGTGTTGCTAACATCCTTTCTTGTTGCAGTATTGGAAACAAATTTTATGTCACAAGGCTATTACGGATTAAGAAAGTAGCAGAGGAGGACATGCATCATAATTTCACCTGCATGTTGCAGACTAATGAAGGAACACGAATAAAGACAGTGAAACTGAAGAAAGGTACAGTCTAAGCTATGAATTATACTTCTCACATGTAATTATTAATGGAGCTCATGCCAACCTTCTTGATATGGAGGCCTGGATACTGRATTCAGAACATCTATGTGGACACATGCACGCTTATGATGGCCCTAGTCCCACTTGGTGCAGGATTTAACATATTCCTTCTGATGTATTCCTTCTGTTCTGTTGCTACTTCTGCTAGAGCAGCAGTCTGAGGATTCCTTGGTTTAACTGCTGCTGCTATGCACAGAGCTCGGGGAGGCTGAGCTATGCTGCTGGGCCGGCATCCCTCTGTGGCAGGTTTGAGCATCCCTCTGTGCTCTAGTTGCCGTTGGATGGGTGGAATCAGGAGGTAACCACCCAAAGCTCAGTGTAGCCCAGAAGCTTCTGTTTGGGCCACATTGTTTCTAAAAGTTATTTTTTTCTATAACGAAAATAGGGCTTTTTATTTATACATTTATTTATTCTCCTCCTGGGAAAGGAAATCTTTTATRTTCCTGCTAATGCCTCCAGCGTTTTGGTTGATGTCAGGTACTGATGTCAGGTTGATGTCTTTCTGTCTATTTAGTGTTGATTGTTATTGTACTGTAAACCTCGCTTTTATAATCCAGACATTCATGGTATTTGCTTTTATTTTTCCAATAATGTCAAACTTTTCCCAGTTTTACTAAGAGGAAATAATATAACTGCACAATTGCAAAAGTATAACTTGGCAATCTTAAAAGATGCTGTATCTAATAAGGAAAATGCAATACAGACTGGTGCAAGCATGGCATTATAGTGCCTTCACAAAGGGCTCCTGAAAGATTTAATGGTTAAAAATCTGTATTTGAAATCAAAGAGAGAAAGATAACCAAATAAACAAACAAACAGAAAGCTCAGAAGACAATAGTGACAGAAGAAAAAGAAAAGATTGTGACCAAAGAAATTAAAGTAACATTAGTGACTGTTATGAATGAGCAGAGATAGGGATGAAAGACAGAGAATAACAGGAAGTAATAAAGATCCAGAAGAAAACTCATCAGAAAGTGGGTGAGCAAACAAAGCTAGTGTCTTTGAGGATCTGGTGTCTTATTATTAGTCACACATACAGCTCATCTATGTATATATTTATGCAAGGTGTATGCAAGCAAGATTATTTCTTCAGTTTCTAAAGCAATCTTCAGTCTTTAATCCTGGTGCTTCTAAGGATGCATGATATTCAAGAGTGCTCAAAGTTTTAAGCAGAAAGTATTTACATCAACAGTATGATTTTTAAGGTTGTTTTAAGATGTTGCGAGTGTTTATTGATATAATTTTGCCATGGAACATTTTGTTAGGGCTCCATGTTAAGGCTCCATGTTTGTTAAGGCTTTGTAATTTTCTGGGTTTCTGTTTTGCAGGGAACACCCAAGATCTGCCTGTGCATATATTTACAACTGGGATGGTCCTTGCTGTAATGTTTATATGCCTTGCTGTAGTCATGGTGGTCATCTGTGTGACGTTCAGAGTTGACTTAGTTCTATTTTACAGGAACATATGTAGAAAAGATGACACTGCTGGAGGTATGACTTGTCTGATCCCGATAGCTTCTGATAGGATGTATAAAAAAGGAACATTTGAAGAAGAGACAAAATGCACAAGTTTAGCGAGTAGTTTAGTGAGTAGCTTCTGAACTGGTCTTACTTGGTCTTTGTAAATATCTGCAAAATGCATGGCCAGYGTTATATACTCTAGTCTATACTCTAAGACTCTATACTCTAAGACGTTAAAGTAATAAATTGATATATTCTCTTTTGCAAGTACCCATAGTATTAGATAACCATGTAATATTTTTATGACATTAATATCAGGTTGCAGTCACATTTTTTGCCTATCAATCATTAYGTTTTTATTATCCTCAGATATCAAATTGGAGTTAAATTAATGTGTTAATCTGATTTTTAAAAATCGCCATGGAGAAAGAAAAGATTAGTTTCAAACAATTGCCATATTTAAATTGCTTGAGGAATTTGTATGTTTGAGGGCTCCGGGGGAGTCAGAGTCAAAAACAACCATTTCTAGATGGTTTGCTGTTGAGACACTGATTTTGAAAATTGGAGTGGTGGGTCAGATATTGTACTTCAAGTGGTTGCCAGCAAGATGAAAACTGGTGGTTTCTTTCCAGATGGAAAAGAGTATGATGCTTTTGTGTCTCACCTGAAAGACTGTGTGTCTCCCAGTGAAGAAGAGAGAGAATTTGCTCTGAATATATTACCCAAAATATTGGAAGAAAATTTTGGTTACAAGCTGTGTATATTCGAGAGGGATGTATCTCCTGGAGGAGGTAAGTATAATGAGTATTCTTGTCATTCAATTGATACAGCATTTTCACATAAAGGTAAAGGTCTGCAGTAAGGAGTTCTGTCAAATGTATCTTACGTTAAAATATCTAGATTAATTGAAAAATAAAAGACTATATTTTCACACAAAGACGGCCTGTGAACATTTTRCATATTTTATATGCATATTTGTGAATACATATGAGTATATATTTGCACACAGATTTTTAGTTGCACAGAATCAAGATGAATACATGCAAATACTGCCATGACAGAAGCTTGAGTGACAACATAAAGAGTGCCAGATGTTTTACAGTAATAGTGCAATTTCTCTGTGTTTATGTAGGGCAGGATTCTATAAACAAACTTGCATTTGCCCTGCAAAGCAGCTGATGTGTCTGGTACTAGTTACTCTGGTTTTATTTTTAAGATTGTCTATATCTTCAGTGTGACAGTGGACATTTCTTTGTAATCATAATAGGTGCCTCCTCTCACTTTTATCTTCTTTAGGTTACATCAGCAGTTTGCCTTGTCTTTCCTTGCAAAGCATTTTTTGTAGATCTCTGGTGTCTAAAGACATTGTTATCTTACAAAACTGGTGAGAGTTCTGGAAGTTGTGCATGAAAATTCCATTATGTGCATGTTTGAAGGAGATCACCATTTGATTTTGTCCACAGATTGTCAGGTCAAAAGATCTAAAATTCAGTTGGAACTCATTTTGTGATAACCTATCCTTTTATATGTAACATGGAATGCTGGTATTCCTAACGTTCTGTTATTGATGATAATGTGAGGTATATGGTGATATAAAGGAATGAGTCAACTGAATTTTTAGATAGAGTTGGATTTTGGTGACTTTGTGTGGATTCATTGTAATGGTGTTTATTATGAAAGATCTATCAAAAGGACAGTAGGCTGGAGGGACAATAAATTTTGTTGTTGCCATTCTATCCATGCAACTGCTGACAGACAGTTGTCTTGGTGAGCTTGGAATTGTGTGTGACTTCCTGTCTGTGTCAGAGAACAAGCTCTGGTGATGCCTGAACTCCTGCTTTCAGACTTGTAATCTGTAAAGAATATCACTCTTTGTAAAGGCAGAATATTTATATCTTGTCCTTGTACTATAAGAGAAAGATTTTTGATAGATATGTGATTGTTAAAAGATAAGTCGATTCTGTGCTTGCCCTTTCAGTTTAGTTTAATAACACATGTATGTTTAATTTGCAGCTGTTGTTGATGATATCCATTCATTTATTGACAAAAGCCGAAGATTAATCATTATACTGAGCCAGAACTACATTTCTGACAGAGCCATATATGAACTTGAGAGTGGACTTCATAAAGCCCTAGTTGAAAGGAAAATTAAGATCATATTAATTGAATATATGCCTATAAATGGCTATAATTTCTTGCCAGAATCACTATCTCTTTTACCATCACAAAGGGTTGTGAGGTGGAAAAAGGATAAATCTCTTCCTGTGAATTCCCGATTTTGGAAGAACCTTCGATACCTGATGCCAGCAAAACCTACCAATTCCAACACCAAATGGGTGATATAATAATCTTGGTCTGGACTCAGAAGGTGTTCAACTATGGACGGGGGACTGTGACTTTATTGTAATCTTACAACTGTTTTGTGAAAGGAAAGAGCTGCAGACAACTAATCATTTTACTACATTTAAATAGAAAATAGAAGCTGCAGTTACTATGTTAATGTTGATAGATGCCAAGCCTGATATTTGAGAAAATCATGAAAATTGTCACAGTGGCTAGGATGAAGCTAACTCCAATGCTAACCTCAAAGAGAGATCCCTCAGCAGTTTGGGCAAAGAGCAGAACTCTGGTTCTGCTTAGGACTTGCTGCATGACACTGAACACACTGCAAAAAGTTTTGGTTCCTTGTTTTCCTTCTTGTAAAGCAACCCCACTTACTTAAACTTGCGTATTTTGTGAGACTAACAAATAAATATATAGTATTTACAGAATATTATGATTTAGATGCTTTTGGCTTTGTATTCTGGTTATTTCCTAAAGATCGATCTCAATAGTCAGACCCACACAGCTTCTGTCCTGTCCTTTGCATCTAGGCTTTGGGCGATGTGAAACAAAAATTAACAAGGAGAGAGTGTAGAATGGGAAACTGGGCAGATTTGGTCAAGCTAACAGTATTTATTACTGAGCTGGGGTSTAGACAAACAAAGTGGGACTGAATTTGAGATATGGTAAAGACTGCTTTTGTCCTCTTGTTTAGCTGAAAATACTATAATTGACCATTTTGTTGGGGAGAAGAGGGGAATGGGATAGTGCTAACAGCATTTTGTTCAGGGACCCCAATATCTGCATCATTTTCTGAATTGCCTTCTCATCTGAGGGATGCAGGGCATATCTGAATATCACATCTTCAGGATGTATATCTACTGCAAATGAAGCTTACTATAGTCCTTGAGCATTGGTATTTAGCACTAATTTTAAAAACTAACTTAGTTTTACTATTCAAAATCAGACATTGACCTGTTCAGGGACCCCTGGAGGAGTCCAAGAGGCCTGGCTGATCTTCAAGGATCACTTCCTGCAAGCTCAAGAATGTCCCATCCCAACATGCAGGAACTCAAATAATGGTTGAGGAAGCCTGCTTGTATGATCATAGGACTTCTGACAAAATCAGGCATTAAAAAGGAAATATGCAAGAGGTGGGAGAAGAGTCAGGTACCTTGGAGGAACGTGGAGCCACTGCCTGAGCATACAGGGATGAGGTTAGGAGAACTAAAGCCCACCTAGAGTTGAAAACTGGCAGTGGATATTAACGGCAGCAAGAAAGGCTTCTACAAATACATCAGCAGCAAAAGGAAAACTGGAAAATGTGATCCTTATATTAAATGAGGCAAGGGCTCTGGTGTCAAAAAACACAAAAGGCAAAGTTACTGAGTGCCCTTCTTCACCTCAGTCTTTACTTTTAAGTCTAGTCCTAAGGAATCCAAAGCCCCTGAGGGAAGTCTGCACCAATGAAGGTTTACCCTAGGTGGGAGAGTATCGCATTAGGGAACACTTGAACAACGTGTACATTCACAAGTCCATGGGCCCTGAGGTGATGTACCTGCAACTGCTGAGAGAGCTGATGAAAATCATCACAAAGCCACTGTCAATTATCTGTGAAAAGTCAYGGCAATCAGGAGGAAAGGCTCCTGAGGAATGGAAGATAGCAAATGTCACTTCCATCCTCAAGAAGTGCAAGGAGAAGAAGCAGGAATATGGAATCATCTTGATGCTTGGGAAGGTGATGGAGCACCTAATCCTGGAAATTATTTTCAAATGTGTGAAGGACAAGAAGTTTGTTGGGAGTAGTTGGCATAGATTTATGAAAGGGAAATCGTGCTTAACCAAGTATGATATGGCTTCACCATAGGATAGCATTCTGTCACGATGAGATGACTGGTTTGGTGCATGAGGGGAGAGTAGTAGATATTGTTTACCTTGGTTTTAGAAAGGCTTTTGTCACTGTCTTCCATAGCGTTCTCATAGACAGGCTGCTAAGTATGGGCTAGGTAAGTGGTCAATGAAATGTAATGAAAATTGGCAGAACTGCTAGGCTCAGAGGTTTGTGATCAGCAGCACAAAGTCCAGCTGGAGTTCAGTCTCTAGTCTTACCCATGGGATGATGCAAGAGCCAACTCTGAATAACATCTTCATTAGCCACCTGGATGACTGGATTGAATAAACACTCAACAAGTCTGATGATGATGCAAAACTGGGAGGAATGGTTGATACACTAGAGGGCTATGCTGCCATTCAGAGGTACTTTGTCAAGCTGGAGAGGTGGGTGGAGAGGAAACACATTAAGTTCAACAGAGGCAGGTGCAGAGTCCTGCACCTGRGGAGGAATAAACCCATGAACCAGTACAGACTGGGGCTGACTGACTGGAGAGCAGCTTTATAGAAAAGGACCTGGGGGTCCTGGTAGTCCCCAAGTTGACCATGAGGCAGCAGTGCACCCTTGTGACAAAGAAGACACAGTAACCTGTGTTGCATTAGGAAGAACATTGTCAGCAGTTTGAGGGAGAACATCCCTCATTCTACTCAGCACTGTTAATGACACATCTGGAGTAGCATCCACTTATGAACTCTCCAGTGTAAAAAGACACACATTTACTGGAGTAAGTCCAGCATGGATGAAAGGGCTAGAGCTTCTCACATATGAGCAGAGGCTCTAAGAGCTGCAACTGTTCAGCCTGGTGAAGGTAATGCTTGAGGCATTGTGTATAAACATCTGAAGGGAAAATGTCAAGAGAATAGGACAAAATTCTTCCTCCTGGTGCCCGCTGTCAGGACAAGAGGCAATGTGAAGTAACTGAAGGAAACTACATTTGAACATCAGGAAAAGCTTTATTACTGTGAAGGTAGATAGCGGAACAGGGTTTCCACAGTGGTTCTGGAGTCTCCATACTTGGAAGTGCTCAAAAGTTGACTGGACATGGTCCTGGGAAACCTGCTGTAGCTGACCCTATTTGAGAAGCCAGGTTGTACCAGATGATCTCTAATAGTCCTTTCCAAACCCAGCTCTTCTATGAATTTGTGAAAAGGAGGCAACACAGTTGCTAGGTTTGGACGTGTGAAAAAGAATCACAGAATCACAGGATGGCATATATGAATAAAGCGTATATGTGTGGTTTTTGATCCACTCCAAGATCTCTTTCTCCCTGTCTGTCATCCAACTGATGCATTAAATGAGTCACATACCACTAAAGAGGGAGGTATTACATTTGTTTCTCAGCCATACAGCTTTCATGTGCATGAAATGTATATGAATGCATTGACATAAATGCATTACCCAACTACAACAATTGTCAACTATATTGTCACAATCAGCTTAGTTGTGATAGCAATGGCTTTGTCTGGATACAAACCTGGCTTCGTACATAGAATATCGAGTGTATATTTTTATTTGTGCAATACTTAAGGAAGATCCTGTCCTTAAGGACTAATGACAAAACTTCAGCTACAAGGAAGAAGCTCACACATTAGGAAAGAAAGCTTGGGAAAGGAAGAAGCTCAGCAGACTGATGCACCACAGTTTTAGTGTTGGTAAAAAGAAGGGAGAAAGGAACAGGGTTCTTGTCAACAAATAGGTCCAGGAAAACAAACACGTAAAAAGCACTAGAAAGAAGAGAGGCATTTAAGCTGAGGAGCAATATTGTCACATGGACAATTCTGCATGAATGCATTTACAATGAGCGTTAAATCAGTAAGTTCTCCTATGGGAGCAATGGTGAAAATATGCCAACCTGGTTCCTTGCTGGAGCACACCAAGTTCCTGAAATAAACCACATCAACTGCATGGTTTTTATGTACCTCAGCCTGCCATAAGCAAGCTAGACTATCAGAGGAAAGGAGGAGTTGCCACTGGCTTTGAGGTATTAAGAGAATCTTTTCTTATCAGCAAGGCCTAGGATCTGATGCATCTTTTAATTGTACCAGTATTTTGAGTTGGGAATATCAACTTTGCTCTTTTCTCCATATGCAAGTAGTCTATTCAGTACATCCAAGGACTTACGCGGCGCTGTCATATGGCAGATGGTAGAAACATGGAAGTTCCCTGACTCACGGGCAGACTGTGCGATAGTGCAGCAAATCTGCACTAAATACCAACATTTTCCCTTATTTAATAGGTGAGTTAGCTCACTGGTTCATAAGCTGCTCTTAACTGTGTGCCATTTGATTGACTCTATGACCTTACAGACAGAAGCTGGTGTTTAGATGTTGTTCAGATACCTGCTGTGAGATACCTTATGTGAGGGCAAAACCAACACCACTGCCTTGGTTTAGAAAATAAGCAGAGTGGAAAACTTCTTACCCACTCAGTGTTAACCCTAGCTGGGCAGAGGAAGACATGATGTGTAAATGTGTGAAGCTAGGATGGTATCAGAATACCAGAGAAATATAATCTCTCCCCAGACTCTAAGTAATACAAGACTACACAGTGTACACACTGAGATAGTGTATTTTCTCTGCTTTTCGGCTTGCTAAGTGCTTGAACAAAAGCGACCTGCATAAGGTAGGACATGGACCCCCTCACTGGCCTTTCCAGAGGGGAGGGAAAGCACTTTTGAGGGAGTACTCCCAAATATCGTGTCTAATTTCTGTGGCTATTTTTTAAAGTATGMAAAATATGTATGCATGTGAGGTGTAGGAAAGGAAATAGGGAAATCTAGGGCATTACTTTATTCTCTTTCTGTAAATCTGCTCTAGAGATAAAGGAAAAGCATGAGTTTGAGAAGTAAATGTGAGTGAGACCGCTTTGTCACTATATATGTTACTTTTGCAAAAGAAAAGAAGTTGACCTGGGACAGAGGCTCAGTAAAATATCTGGAACTATTTGATAGGATTTTTATCCGCTATGGTAATCAGTACGGCAGAGCAGTCAGACTTGTGACAGCCTGACTTGCAAAATATCGTGTGACTGGTGGTTCTGTAGTACTTGTAGGCAAGGATCTTTTCTGGAGTCAACACTGATAGAGTTGGAGTGCCCTGCTTAATTTTTTCTTTTAGTAAACATATTGCCTGGAGAGTATTATGTTTAGTATTTACCTGATGTGTGTTTTACGTATCTAAGATATGTCTTTGAGAAAAAAAAATATTCTTTTTCTAATAGTCTGATCTGTGACTTGAAGGTGGTGTGGGCTTGACTTCATCTGCATTGGACTCCATAATTCTTTCAAGGGAAGAAGAAAGGAAAGTGCTTTTCTCCAGTCAGGAAAGACACATTTAGAATATTTCATTTTTAGTAGGGAAACCTAAGAAGATATAAATTACAAAACAGTGGATGAAATAGTACAGATTTTAGTACAGACCAACTTTGTTGTCAAATGGTCCTATTCTGGAAAGAGCTTAGAGCTAAAGACACAGTAGGAAATAAGATACGTAGTTGTGAATGCATCCAGTATCCCCAGAAGACCCAATAAAAACAAGTGTTAATACTGGCCACTGCCTAGAAGAATGTGTATGTATGTGTGTAGATTGTGATCACCTGTTACGTAGCAAAATTTTTTTTAGCTTTTTTGTTTTAGCTTTTTTTCACAGACATTGAATAGAATAGATAATTGACTCAATTAGCAGTAAACAAAGTAGGCTTTGTGTATGAAAAGAAGAAACAAGTTAACTGTTTTTCAGATAAATCTGATGCTTTTCAGATAGGTCTGTATATTCATATAACCACTACTGAAGTGGTGAGGACCAGGATCTGAACTTAGAGCAATTCTGATGCTTTTATGTTGAAAGGATTGCAGGTCTGATAGGCAAGTCATGTCTATCTGATAGACAAGGCATCTTCACTATTCTGTTTCTGTCAAAGATGCAGCAACAAGACTCGACACCGATGGTGAGGATGGAAAGCAACGGTGTGGCATAATCCTCTGGTGCTGCCAGTTTGCCAGGTGCCAAAGAGCAGACTAAGGATGAAGAGAATTGCCTATTGTAATGAATATTATTCTGTATTAGGCAGATACATGGCTGTCTTGGAGATTTCAGATATTACATGCTTCATTTTGAGTTTTTCAGTAGCAGCTTTTAGGCAAAGAAGAAATAGTCCTTTGCCCTTCACATTCTTAAAAGAAACAAACTAAAAAGCTCAATACATTTTTGGACAGAATGTGAATAAAAGATCTTAAAAAATAGAATGCGTTAATCTTTTACTGGAGGTACACTTCTTTCCTCTTCCTCTGTTCTTTTTTATAAGAAAACTACCCTGAAACTTAGAACCTCATGCAACTAAACTGAGAAAGGAAGGCATGATGAGGTAGAGGAAATTCCTGTAAAGGAAACAGGCTGAACACAGTGCTCAGCTAGAACTAACCACAGTCTTATCGTATAGTGTAGGAGGTGCAGGTAAGATTTTTCAGATAATTTTTTTTTTTTTTTTTAGTAAAAGCTTTATACTTAAAATGTTAGCCATATCTGAGTTATTTTTATTTTCTTTGAATATGTGTTTTAAAATATATTGATTTTAATTGCTTAGGCAAACAAGACAGTTATGCATTATAATAAACAGCTTCATTCTTTTGCTTTGCATATGACAGAGCTTTTTTATTTTTTCTCTTGGGTGACTATTAATAATCCTCTTATATTCAGATTATGTTTGCTCTTCAAATGATGTAAATCCCATGCAAATCATAGAAATTGATAGTTCTGAGACTGAAGTGAGTCTCAGCAGAATCAGTATAATAGGCTATGGCATGCCACTCTCTAGTAAACTTCAAGGCTATCATGAAACTTGGTTTCACTCCCGATAAATTGATTCTGATTTACTTTGCTCAGATTTTATGCAAATACTTGAAACAGGTTGGAAGTAGAGATTTGTTGTTATCTTGTGAGAATCCTTTCAAAGCTGAAACATAGGCAAAGTAATACTATTTTTATTCTTTTTTTTTTTTAACCACAGAAAACTAAGTACAAAGGAAATTACTATTATAAAACATGTAAAAAAACATGGTTTTACCATAAATTACTTTCCTCTGAAATTGTATCCTAAATCTCTGGATTATGGATTAATAATATGGCATATACATGRCAGAAGATAAATCTAACTTTCCTCTTGGTTATATGTTGTCCAGAGTTGAACACTTTTGTCTCCTGGCATATATGGACAAAGTCAGAGTTTGCATTACCTTGAGTGCATTTGCAGTGCAGTGTACTATCCGAAGGCTATCCTGTTTCAATTCCCCCTCTCCTTTGGTAATTACTATCTGCTTTTGTTATCTGAGAATTTCTCTTCCTGTCAGGCACAATTAAAAGATGAAACTTCTCAAATACTTCTCACATATTATATTCTTAATCACTCTAAAAATCAGACATTTTCAATGCCATCTACTCAAAGCTTTACCAGGTAGCCAAAACATTGGTTAGCAAAATGCAACAGAAAGTAAGCCAGATTGCYAACCAAAGCTATTAAATTCATTAGTTACCTCTCCCTTTCCCACTTCCTCTCCATTCATGCTGAACTCGAAGACTTCAGAAGACTAACAATGCCATGTTGTTAATGTGGCAATAAACCAGGGAGCTGCACTGATTATACATTGGTGGCATTCCGATTCAGAATCTTTTTACGGCACTCTTAGATCTACACTAGATTAAAAGTGTTCAGGTGTATTTTAAGTGTACCTTAAAGAAACAAACTCTCTCTCAGGCCCAGATACATTAAATAAAGAGGTCTTTGTGGAAGATCACTCCACTTTCTTGCTGGGACATGCTTTGCAGAATATTGGCTTTTCTTTTCACAGAATACAGCTGGTTTTGGTAGACCTCRAAGTTTTACAGACATGTTGATTCCTCTCCCCTTGTGCAGTGCTAGATTTTAGATTATTTTATTCTATCCTGGCCCATGGTAGGTGGAAGCTTTGGAATGAAGAGGAAAATGTCTGGAATGGGGCTAGAAGGGGGTTGATTTCATCTCTACATGTTGTGCAGGTGGTGTACATCTGTATGGCATTTGAAACCCTGTGAAAGTGAAAACATTGCAAAGCAGCTTCAAAATTGAAAATTAAAATGTTGCTTGAAACGTGAAGATCACATTCACACTTTCTATTCCYGGCTTAAATCAAATATGGAGACAAAGACAACACAGTTTGATGTYATGTGGTGGTTTCAGGAGAGCTGATCTAAAGAGTTCGCTGCTACCTGCCTGCAGAAGTCCTGCTCTCTTGCTTTGTCTCTCCTCTTCCGCTCCCAGCTACAAATACTACCACTGCTTATCTTGTGTCAGGTCAGGCATTCTTTAATTATTTTTTTTTCTTACTAATTCACAAGTTGAATTGATTTGGGTTGTTAAAGATCACAAGAACTGTCATGGGTSAAGGGCTAAACCTTTAGTTTAGCTTAAAGGGACAAGGGAGCTGGGAGGATAGATGAGCAGATGAAGCTTTCCCCTATTGACAACAGTGATGCTTTAGATTATTCAGTGACCCAAGATACCACATCTTTAACTCAAGATGGCTTCTGCTTGCTACGAGTACCTGTGTGCCTATGCCACGCTGGCTGATGGGTGACATAAACCAAAATACCATCTTTTATTTTAAATGCTATGATAGTCTCGGAGATGTAGCACTGTTTTTGTATGCCTTGAGAGGTGCCTTTATATTTGCCTTAAATTCAAATTCAAACAAATCAGGATCCACTAATCATTTTGATCGAGATCCTCTAATCGTTTTCCAGTGGGTAAGACAGACTTTCTAAAGTTTAGCAAGCTCTTTGCTCAGTGCTAGTAGGAAACTTATTCTCTTTTCAGATGTAAAATTTGTGTGGGGAGATGCCAATGGGCAACAGCTGATTTCGAGGGGTAAAACAGACAGCCTACTCTGTGTGACCTCTGAGTGTATAAATAGCTCRTTCCACTCACTTGCGAGGAATAGAGACGCGTTGAACTGAACGGTGACTAAAGTGCTCCTATCTCTGCAAAAGAGCTGCCTGAAAAAGTGCCGAGTGGGTGTTTTCTTGACTAGGGTGTTCTGTCCCTAGCTAAGGGCACAGCGGGTACTTTGTTGCTGCCTGCTCYTTATGAGTCCTATCTGATTTGCATGAGGTGCCAACTGCTTAGGGACTAACCCTTGCTTKRMCYTTTTTTTTTTTTTTTTTCCCCTTGAGCTGATGTGGTGCCTCTCTGGCAGCTGTGCAAGTGCAGAGTCACCCTGTGACCCCATGAGCAAAGAAAAAAGCTCCTCACGATCTTGGTTGCACAATGCATGCATGGGCACAGCATGGTGAGTTTTCTCACTGAATGGGGCAGTCCACATGTATCAGTGGCAGGCATTGGATGTGTTGCTAAATGCCCAAATCAAGCCATGCCCATCCTTGATACATGCTAGGCAGCCTGCCCCTCTGCTCTGGTCCTGTAGCTGAAAAGGCTGCAGGACACCGCTCAAAACTACTTAGCAATGGAGCCCTTACTCCAGTTACGCCTTCCTCAGTCTACTGGTAATGCTTGTGTCTAGCTACAGGATGATGCTCTTGTCAGTTATATTGTCACCTAACTTAAAGGAAGGATTTCTCTGACCAAGAGCTCCTGAGAAATCTGCAATTTCACTACAGATCTAAAACTCTTCATTGCTGTACATATCACCTGTGAGCAACTCCATGACAGATGCATTTAAAGAGGTTGTAGCATGGTCTTGGATGTTATCTATCCTACATCTGTGTGAAACAATATGAATAGAAAGAGCATTGCATATCCCCATTTTAAAGCACACAATATATAGGAAAYAAGCTCTGCTGATGTTTATAGAGCTACATTACGAAATACACAATAACTTACCTGTCCTGTATATGGTGGATTATTATTTGCAACAAATGTCTGTTTTCCCATTTTACAGCAAGCAAGATGATTCCTAAAGAAAAAGTCTCTGAATATCGACCAAAATTGATAAAGAAAATCATGCTTATGTTTTGTTGGATCYTAGTATTATTTGTTGGTGGGACAGAAGTTAGAGAGATTAATTTGTCAGGTAAGAGGTGCTTTTGTGATGCTTTCATGTTGCTTTGAAATGGAAATGGAACAGAAAGGGTAAAAGTGAAGGAGAATTTCTGAGCCTCCCTGAAGTCTCAAGCAGTTGGTCTAAGYGTGTGAGAGAAGAAAGGCAGGCTGAGGATGATATCAAAGTCTTCTGCTCACATAGTCTGTGTGGAGGTGCTTGGTGAAGCTAAGTGTGCAGAGTGAAACTGAAACTGCCCAGAGTCTCCTGGGTGGGCAAATGATGAACTGAACAATTCATGCCCTTTTCTGCTGAAATGAAATCCTGCCATGGTTCCCCTTTCAGACTCGGATCCAACKATGGGGTTACCACATCCTGACTGGTCAGAGCAGCAAGGTCAGTCAGCTTTTAGAGAAACTATGCTTAGGATGGGACATCAAAGCTTTCAGCATCCCAAAGTGTATTTAATTTTTGTAGAGAGGGGAAAGATTTGAAAGCAATGAGAGAATGATGAAATGCTTTTCACTGTTAGCTTGAATAGGGAGAGGGACAGGTAGACTCTGCTTCTTCATTTTTTTTCACATTTATGTCAGTACCTTCTTTATTAATATGAAGAGAACTGCAATAGCTACATCTGTTCTTCTCAAAGAAGAAGAACCTCACCTTAGAAATGAGGTTTAGCAGGTTAGCATCCATTTGAAAATCCCAGATTTGTYAAAAATCTTAAGCTATTTTCACATTGGGCTTTTGAAAGAGGCATACAAACCTTTGAAAACCTTTGAAAAAACATTAAGAACTTTGCATTTCAGTAGTTACGAAAATCAACTTTATATTAGGCCAACCTAAGATCATATAACAAAATATTTAGCATGAAAATTGTAAAAATTGTATTTTTGCACAATTCCTATTTTTTACTGAGGTTTTGTTTCCTGATATTTTGTTTCTAATGTTTTGTTGTCCCACTTTTCAGGTTGTTCCCATGTAAAACCTCAAATACGGTATCGTGCAATTAGTAATGAGGAATTTGTTTTACCTTGTGCTTTACCGGATAAAGATGCTACTCACATTTTTAACCAGTCACTTCTAAAACAACACCAGGCCAAATGGTTCTGGCAYCAGAAAGATAAAGAGCCACTGCAAGCTATTACTGAGAACAGCTTTAATCCCATTCTCAAAGGGAATGCGCTCTGGTTTAATCCAATAAGGGCTAGTGCTTCTGGAATCTATATCTGCATGATACGGTATGTAGTGGGACAAATGCTAGCATTTCTATACAAGAATAATTAATCATAATAATTAATGATTGGCAATTATACTTTTTTATTTTGTATATTCATTGTATAACTTTTTTATTTTTCCTGCAACACACAGGGAAAAAAACCCATGTCTCAAAATGATTCTGGAGGTTCAAACAAAGAGTGAGGCAAACTGTACAGATTATGGCACAAATACACTGCATCTTCTTGCTGGCACTGGGAATTCAATAGTTTGCCCGGGGACAAAATGTTACAACCCTTTAAAAAATCCAGATGTAAAATGGTACAAGGTAAGGTTTGCTGTCTTAAGCCTTCAGGAAAAGTCAGTGCAGGCTTTAGGCCTAATTCTTGTTCAGATGTCATAGATCTCTGATTGTCTTTAAAAGACAATGCAGATTGAGTTTTACAACCAAAAATGTTTTACAACCAAAAAATGTAGTTTATGTGGCTATATGTAATCTCTGTAACAGTTCTGAAGAAAGTTAAGGCTTTTTGATGTCACGGAAGTTCACTTGATTTTGATTTTTTTTAATTCWTTTTTAGAAAACAACAATTCATGCAAACCAAATCATTATATGAAGTAAAAGGCTGGAACTACTTTCTCCTCAATTACTTGTAATAGGTTATTTACAAAATCAGCGCATGTTTGAAATTTAAACTTTAAATTCTGAAAATATCAAATGAATCAAACAAGCAACTTTGTTAGAAAAAGAATTATTTTAAAAATAAATTTCTAATGTGTTTGGGKTTTTTTCCACTATTTTTCTGCAAGATTTCAAATGAAAAAATGTATCAGTGAAATGTACCTACTCACTCTTTTTCACATGGCTATTAAAATACTTGCAAGCTAAAATTTATCCTTTATTCTGTTTGTTAGAATTGCACTATACCATGTGAACCTGCATAATATTAGCAAATGAAAACGACTGCAAGTTCCTCAATTGTGCATTTTACTACGTAGTATCATAGCTTAAAGCTACATAGTATATCCAGAGAAGGAGACTCCACAAGCCTAGACTGGCAGCCTAGTCCAATGCTATGTCGCCTTCACAGTTAAGATCTTTTTCCTCAAACTTAGACGTAACKACCTGTGCTTCASTTTGTGCCCATTGCTTCTTGTCCTCTCTCTGGGTACCACTGAAAATATTCTCATGCAGTTGTCTTGACACCCTCCTTTAAGGTATTTATACACATGGATAAGATTCCCTTTCAGCCTTCTCTTCTTTATGCTAAAGAGGCCCAGCTCTTCTCAGCTTATTCGAAAAAAAAAATAAATAAATAAAACAAAACAGAAACCAGACCAAAAAACCCACCCTGCCACCTAATCCATCATTAATCAAAGAAGCAATCCTTTTCTTTAGTCTTTGGTTCTGGAACTTCATGGTTTTACAGTTTCTCCCTGCAGATATGAATGCTAAAAAAATATGTTAAAAGACAGTGATATTCTGATAGAACTAAACCCAATGGTTTAATACAACTGACAAATGTCCTCAGAATCCTAATAAAGCTTTTTTTGTAGTATTGGTGAGGAGAGCTTGATTTATCCCTACCACCATGGCAGTCCCATTGGAATTTCTTAAAAGATAATGAATTAATATCACAAAAGAAAAGCGACAACTAATCCTTGTTATTTCTTTTCTTATTATTAGAATGGCCGTAAAGTAATATTTCAAAAACTGAGGTCAAGGCTAAAATATAACCATAATGAAATCTTCATGATTCCAACYTATGACAAGGATGCTGGAATGTATGTGTGTGATTACACTCTAGTTGACAACAGTACTGAATGGACAGTGCGAACCATGGTTAAAGTAGAAGTTATTGGTGAGTAATAAAGTTCAGAGTAAATATCTTTAGTGAAAAAATATGTTTTTTCTATTCTTTCCTACACTATTTCTCTCACTGTTGAGACTTTTCTTCAAAAGTGACATGCTTTCCTCTCTGGGTACTCCTCTTATTTTGAGGGCTATTTGAGTACAGTCTTCATAGACCCTTTAAGGTGTGGGCTCTTTAACAAYGCAGGACTTATTCCCAGCCTTCTGGAAAGTGGGCTGCTCTGCAAAAAGGAGAAGCTTTATACAGTGAGAGAAAGGCAACAATTAAGGYAAAGTGGTTCTATGATCTAATGGTGAGAGCACTCCTCTGAGGTAGCTGGTTCTGGCTCTAGAGTGTTTAATACATTTTATATTAAAATGTGTTGGGAAGAATACATTAGGATGGGAGCTGGAAAACACATCCCAACACCCTTTCAGAGGTCCATGTGCCTAATTACAATGTCAGGTGCTATCTCATCTTGTTTCTAGGTGTATCTCTTCATTATTTTCTTAATCTGCATGAAATGTCTCTGCTTTTATTCTGATCTGACCAAAACTGAGCTAAAACACTGCACCTCTCAGTTCTTGTCCCTCAGTTCACACCATGGCTGAGGAAAAGAACTGAAAAGTGATGGGTACCTCTACACTCTGAATTTTGCATACATTYCTGTTTTGTGGCTTGGCTTAGAAAGAAATGAAGTGTGGCACCACTTCCTGCAGCATAGGTCTTTCTCAGAATATCAGAGCTGGGAGATTTAGCCCCCTCAGACCATTATCCCTGCAGCATGGTTAACTCTTAGAWCACAAACTACATTGTAAAACCATATTGTGCAAACTGGAGTTGACCTTTTCTGTGCCCTTCACTTGAAAAAGCATAGTTATTTTAATGCAAGTACTTGTGTGGTGTACTTAACATGTAGATGAGGATTGCTATGCTGTATTTATGTTTACTAAGCATGGAACTAGGCTTGGCAGGGAGCTGATATGCGAATTAGGTTCTTCAGTGTTTTTTGTATTGGGATACCTTACTTGAGAATCCTCAATAACTGTAAGGGCAAGATAGATTGTAAGCTGTTCAGCTCAGCTAAGATAACACAGCCTCAGTGTAGCTGCAGTAGCAGGTCTTTAAGTTATTCAGTCTGTTGTGTATAAGTTACTCAGCAACTAAATTTTGTAGTAAAAACTCCCATGTCTGTGAACTCACAGACATCTATGTAACATGTGAAAATCATCCTCTTGGTCTTAGGCATCTAAATTCTATCTAATATTTGAAAAAATGGAAACCTATCAGATATTTTCTCTAGTCTTCGGTTTTGATCATTAATATTATTGAAATTAATTGCAGCAAAAAACACTATCCACCCACCAAACTTCTTGTATCCCAATGCTGTGATGATCCTTGAAGCAGAGCTTGGTAAGTTTTGATTCCTTACCTAAAAGCAAAAAGAAATATTTGAAAGGGATATTGTTAGACCATGAGAGATCATGAGAGATTTTGATTGATTTTGATAAAATAATTTGGTTTTGCTCTCCTGGAATATGAAGATTTTATATAAAATGTAGAGGTTTTATTTGGTATGTATCTTAGAGCATATTAAATAAAGCATCATATACTATACAGATTCCAGGCTATCAAAGGAAAAAACATTCTAGTGATCTCTGTGCATCGTTTTCCTGTGTTAATTTGTTCCAGGACAACCACTTGAATTGAAATGTGTTGTACAGTTTGGATTTGAAAGAGATTCTCTGCAGAATGTAACATGGAAAAGAGACAACAAAGAAAATACCAATGAGAAACTGGAACAAGAAACAAGGTAATAAAATAAACCTGGTAATCTRTTTACACTGTTAGCAGTTGCAAAAGTCCTTCCACAACAGCTTCGCTTAATATAATATTTCACTGAAACTCAGAAGGCTCTAACCACACACATTTTGTCAACATTCACCATGTTAACATATATGTCCCAGGGCAGGTGAGAGKTACATGTCCTTTGCATAAAGATAAATATCTTAAGGGCACAATATGGCTATTGAAGTCAAGAATTTGAATGTACTTTCTAACCTAATCTCTTCCTCCTAAAGCAAAGCTCTAGCTCACTGGATGTGCCAGTATGGATGGTACTTGACTCCCTGTGCTGGTATCAGCTGTTTCCACATGCTCTCTTTATTCCTCCTCGTGAATAATACACACTAGCTGTCTTAGAAAATTATCTATGAGTAGGGAGTAAAGCAGATCCAATAAAACAATACTACGAACAAATTCTTTCGCACCTGGAAACACGTCTGGGTGTCTCTAAAGTCTCAAAAGTTGAGGTGTATTTACTGAGTTGTGTATGTGTTTACTGAGGATATTGAGTCAGACTTATCGCAGTGATTTTTAGGATTTTTCAAGAAGTCATCCCTGATAGGAATTAAGCAGACCCCTCAGAGAAATGACTTGTTGGGGAAAGATTTCCTGTGACTTTGCAACAGTGAAAATTGTCGCTATGTCTCCTTTTGATTCTGTATTTTCCTTATTCATTTATACAGTGTCCAACTTGGACAGGAAATCACAGAATCACAGAATGGCCAAGGTTGGAAGGGACCAAAGTGGTGGGTCTACAAAGAAAGGAGCCTACACTATACAACTCTGAGCCATCTTTATGATAAACTTCTTCTGCGTGTTTGGGAAAGCAAAAGCTCTCCTGACACTGCTAAAATTAAGTTTTTAATGGAAGCTATGAGTGAGGCGAGATGATCTGTCTGTCTGTCTCTCTCTCACACATACTCACACACACACACACATGCACACATATGATTCAGTTTTCAAGTTCAAAAACTAACTTCTGGATTTTCCTAACTTTTGAATGTTTAGCTTTSTAATTTTCTTTTAACCATTTTTTTTAGTTTTGTAAGTGTGTACACTTTTTGTGTGTTTATTTTTCCAACACCTACATGGGCCTAACATTCCCAACAGATCTTAATCACAGGTTGAATCCCTAGATTTACTCCCTGTACACATACCTGCAACTCTTGTGCTACCGAGTTAACAAAGGGCTGTCACTGGCCCATCGTGGCCTGCAGTAGTGTGACAGGAGGCGCTTTCAGGACTAGTCAAATACTGTCTTTCAAAGAGGAAAGCTAAAAGTCAGAAATCTTTGTCTATCCTGTCCTCAGGCTTTCTATTCCTATTAAAGAGACTGTGCTTTCACAGTCTTCTTGTCCAGGTAGTCCTCTCTTAGGGCTCCTTTTCAAAGTTTCCCCCATGCATTTTATCTGGGGCATCTTTTAAATCTTAAAAAAAMCCCAAACACAAATAGTCTTAAGGTGCCCATAAAGTGAGGTAAGTGCTTAAATATTTTGCTGAGTTGATCAAGTGAGAATCAACCTTTTAATCTTTTGACCTTTGATGTTAGTACTTTCTTACTATGTAAAAACAGTAGAAGTTCTGGATCAGAATATCACATCTATGTTAAAATGTAAAGTTGAATGTTAAAAAGTTATAAGTTCACTGTTTTTTTCTATCTAAAACATTAGCAGAATGTGTGAACAAGCAGTAAAAGTATATTGAAAATATGTATTTTTTTCTCTTTAGTATTCATCTAAATGGTTTAAAGGGCACCATACTTCATCACATTGCTAAACTGAAAGAAGTTACTGAGAGGGACCTCAGAAGCAACTTCACGTGCTTTGCTCAGAATGCTGTGGGGAACTCTACAGCTGTGATCAGGCTAAAAAGGAAACAAGGAGGTAAAACTAGGTGGAGGGTTTTCTGGCTATAAAAACACATTTTGTTTTACTCACCATTACAGATTCATTTCCCATGGATATGGTCATTGGCTTTTCAGTCTCCTGAAGAAGTTTCTTAACATTGGATTGGGCACATTTAATTTGTTAAATATCTAGAAAGACACATGATTCTGGTGATTACGCAGAATAGCCTGACAGAGAGGCTGCTGATGGCAAGTAGCCCAAGTGAGCAGTGGAGAATAAGCAAGAAGAGGAGAGAATCTAGCAAATTGAAACAAAATGTTTGTGGAAAGCAATATATTCCTTGATTTTTATAGAACATTTCTGGTTTTATCTCCAGTTGATAGTTTGCATGTTTCTGAGAAGCTACCAAAACTAATACACATACGGCAACCCTTCAAGCAAAGACTGAAAACTCAGTTAGTGTGGAAATTAAATTGCTCTCTCACTTCTAACCATACTTCATTGTGGAGATTCATGAGTGGGGCAGAACAGGAAGTCTGCAGCTATGTATTGTGTGTGATAGTAAACTGAAGGCATCTTTTTCTTGTCAACCAATGTTGAGTGTACCGTAGAAGTTTTGATTTTCTCYGTGCCTTCCATCACAGAATGGCTTTTCATCCGATCAAGTAGATGCCATTCAAATGTTATTCTTGGTGACAGACTGCAACATTATATTGAGATTTGCCACTAAATGAATTCCAGACTTCCCTGAATTTTGCCAGCAGAGCAAGACTGAAGACAGTTGGCTGACTTTCTGAATTTCCATTACTTTGGAAACTCAGAGTTATGACAGACTCTTTTCTTTCCACAGTGTTTCTCTTATATGTGCTATGCAGTGCCATTTCAGCTCTATTTGCATTTGTTGTGTGCATTGCCTTTGTTTACCAATACTGGATTGAAATAGTGCTGATATACCGAAGTTACCTAGTACAGAACGAAAGTATAGAAGGTAAGCAATGTGGTATAATGTTACTTTTCTCCAGTTCTCTCTACTGGTTTTTGCCTTGTGCTTTAATCTAGTGTATGTTAATACCTAATTTAATGTTCATAGTAACCCTGCCCTCTTTGAGAGGATACAAAAGCTGTTAAAGCTAGCAAGGTATTTCAGTGGATTTAGATGGCAAAATCTCTGGGCAGGTKGGAAGAAATATATAAACACCAACCGAAATGTCACAATTAGTCTTTACAAGATCCCTAATTTACCCACAGAAGATCAGAATAGGGTGTTGAATTGTGGCAGTCCTTTTATAGAGAACAATAGAGAAATTCCAGTATTTTAACTGCATTGTCATAAAAACAAAACCTGAAGACTTGAGTCAAATGTTCTTGCAGAATCAAGTGAAGTACAAAATCTAATGCGTTTTTCAGTTTTAGCCAAATAATTTCTCAGAAGAGTAAGCAAAGCTGAGAAATAAGATGACATAGAGCACCAACCAATTGCATTTAGGCAATATTCATCTTTCCCTTCTAAAAACTATATTGTTCATTGTGGTGTTTACAGCAGAGTCATCACCTTCTGTTCTGTTATTTCCTATCTCTGGGGTAATGTAGCCTGCCATACTGTCCAACGAACATGGACCTTCAGGGTAGCAAGCTGTGTAAAAATATAGTAGAAATGACAGTCCCTACTTCAAAGAACTTATTATCTAATTTTCTTACATGGGTATAAAAAATTTAGTATGATGTGCCTTAAGATTTTTTTCTTTAATTGTTGAATCTTGTTGCAGCATGAGATGTATATGTCTCTGTGGCTGAATGTGTGTTTCCATATGTATACTTCATTTATGTGAAGTATACTTCATTAAGTGTGAAATAACTCTATCTATGTGTCTATAAATATATGCACAATGAGACAATTAACTGCCCTTTTGGAAAGTATTTTATGAGCCTCATAGCAGCTGGCAAAAGTGATTTGGGAAATCACTCAGAATTTCCCCTCTGTTTGGTAGCAAATTGATGCAAAAACCTCTGGAAAGTCCCCTTGGCACTTACCCCTGTATGTCAGTAAGGCAGAGACAGATTTATATACAGAAACTCAAGACACTGTTGGGCCCATCGCAGCTAACTGCATCTTACATATGTTTCTGCAGATAGAAGTGCCACCCTCTGTCCCACTCCCATGTACCAGATGCATGAGTTACCATTTGTAGTATGGGCTCCTAGTGCAGTCAGAACAGCTGTGCCAATCTGGCAAGTTATCTGCTTGAAGCATATTCATTAAAATTTGTGCTTCCCACAGCAGGACTATCCCTCTCTCACCTCATGTGCATACATATCAAGTCATATGATGCGTGAGAGGTCTGGAACAGCTTGATCACAGAGCAACTGAGCATCAGTTACAACTTGTTATTTTCTGTTTTTTCCTTTCCATCTTTTCTTCTTTCCCATCCCTAAGTCTGGAATCAGAAAATTATGGTCACACAGGTTGGATCCTCTGATCCAATACCCAGCTCAAAGCAGAGCCTGCTCATGAACTCTTTTAGTCATGTTTTGCATAGTTTTGATGATAAAGAATTCAAAACCTCCCTAGTAAACCTGTTCCAGCGTTTAACCTCATAGTGGGCACTTTCCCACTAATATCTTAAAAGAATTTCTCTTGTTGCTACTTGTTGCTTATTCTGCCGTTTCAGTGCAGCTCTGAGAAATCTGTTTCCATGTCTGTACTCCATTAGGTAGTTGAAGACAGCAGTAAGCTTATGCTTTATCCCTTAATCAGTTCTGATATGCCTGCAAATGATCTTGCTTTCATCCACAAAGTGAAAGAAACAGTGCAAAATCTGTGCCTCTAGCATTTATAGGTGACTGATGCATTCACTTTGCTGGATGCAGATATCATCCTTGCCAACTCTTTGTGGATTTTATGTGTTTGTACCATAAGTTCCTCAGGGTAGAACTGTCATCCTGTGCAATTCTGGAAGCAAAATTCATAATGCTTGCAGTGAATGTATTTTTTGTATTTATTTTCTAGTGTAACAATAATGTTATAAAGGAAAGTAGTCATATGTTTAGTAGTGGTGATTGTTTAATAAGACTGCACTGACCTCTGTGGGCAAAATGAGGAACATCTGACTTGTTCAAAGGATTTACAATCTTATTTTGAAGGAGCTTCAGTTCAATGCGTATTTGGACAGTACAGCCAAATCAGTCTCATGACTCTCTGCACCATCTCTAGCTCCAACACCAATCCAGTGTGCCTGCTCTTGGTGATTCCCTGTCTTGGGCTGGGCCTATGCTAGATCAGCTTGCTAGAGAAAGTAGTTGGCAAGAAAATGAGTAGCTAGCAAGATGACTCAATTGCATCTGTTATCACAAAAGCTCCAAAACCAGTGCAAGGAAGTGCTGCAAATGTGTGGCACAGTGTTGACTTGTATTATCTAATCACATCCTCAGGCTTGAAACTGTGTTTTCACACCTAGATCTCATTCTGTTGACATGATTTCTGCTACGTGTAGTTCTGTACGTAGTTTTTCAATGTAGGCTGTGCATGCAGTTAGTTTTCCTTTTGTATTTCCCACATATTCTGGAATGCATATTGACTCTTCTACGTCTGGTTGGAAGCTGATGGCTCTGGTGTGTTATCTTGGCATAGAAATTACAAATTTAGCACTGAGACATCATTTAGGTGTCTCTGTGCTGGAGGTGACTACGTGTTAGGTAGGTGTATCAGTTCCCGTTCTGTGGCGGCCTAGTCAATACTAGAGACTTATTAGTCAACACTAGTCAAGTTATTAGAGAGCTTTTCAGCATATCCTGCTCTAGGATCCTTCAGCAGGACCCTATGCTGACAGTTGAATTGCAATCTGGATTCTGCTGAGTCTCCTGACTTATGGAACAATTCCACTGTAGGTGTCTGATGTCATCTGGGTGCCTAAGAGTGTCCTGTTATTCTCATTTAACGTTTCTAATAATTCTTGTGTCATACTTGGCAACCCCATCAACCTTATGGCATGTCAAATACACTAGACACCGACATATGGGTGAGAGGACTCAGTCCAGTGTATCATTTTCCAGAAATCTCTTTACTTCTTCCTCCTTAAATGTGGTTCAAATTTTACTTGGCCAATAAATGAAGTTTTCTTTTGACCTGTAGCTGAGAATGGACCAAGGAAGGACAGCAGAATAAGGGAGTTTCAAAGTTGAGAAAAGCCATAAATGTATTTGGCATCTGCATTTAGCAGACTTTTTCTAAAGGGACTGAATCAAAATTCTGGAACTGGTCAGCACTCACTTTTTGGGCTGTTGTTTGGATCAGATCTAAGCTTTGCTACTTACACCAGTCTCTCTGATTGGGAACATAACAGAAAGCAGCACACATCTAGTTTACAAACTAGTATAATAAAATTCACCGCCTTTCCAAAGTAGGTTGTGCACTAATGAGTATTTTTGGAATTAGAGTTTATGTGAGTGAGAAAAAAAAAAGATTAAGAATCACTAAATATAAGATAGAATTTAGATGGAAGGGGACAGATCTTCCACTAGTGAGAACTGGCACATATTTGTGAAAATGCATAAAAATGCCTAACTGAAACTTTCTTTGCAGTATGCATAGTTGTCTACAGCCTCTCCATTTACTTTGATAATATATATCCACAGCATTTTCAAGACAGTGGGGAATAAGAGGTAGCCCTGGGTAACTAAATGGCTGTGCTTCATGAACAGGTGAAAATATCCAATTAATCTGTTGCACTGTTAAATAAAACACAAATGTACAAGACATAAATAGAAATTATTAGTTAAAAAGAAAGCTGTAAGGTTCAGATGTATTTATTAAGGAATACTATGTTAATTATTTACTTATTTATTTTAGATGGCAAAGAATTTGATGCATTTGTGTCCTATGCAAAACTAGACTGTTCTGAAAGTGAGTCCACTTTAATTAGTGAGGAAGAATTTGCCCTGGAACTCCTTCCAGACATTCTTGAAAACAAATACGGATACAAGTTATGCCTTCTTGAAAGAGATATTCTTCCAGGAGGTGGTAAGAACTCATGAGTGGTAAAAAAATATTCAATGTTCTTTGAAAATGGTTTTCACTTTCCAAAAATCTTATGCAAAAGATTTGCAAATGGTGTGTTTTGGCATAATTCTCATGTTTTTATTTTTATACCTGGCTGCTGCACCTGAGGCACATGTATATTTCAGCATGTTTCCTGGGGAGATACGAGGGTGAGATAAAGATTTTTGTCCTGTAAATTCTTTGCAGATAGACTCCATTTCCTGAATGGAAGATCCTTAGGTGCTTCAGTAGTTACTTTCTGATTGACTTCAGTCAATCCTCCATGCAATAATTGGTACTTTTGGTTGGGCTGGAGGGAGACTCATCCAAGTGTCCCTTGAGACCCTATCTGAGCAGCAACTAAGTGTGTTGTGGTTTGAGCTGTGTCCTTCAACTCTTGTGCTGCAAGTTGTGGTCTCCAGGCTGCGTAAAATTGGCAGTGGTATCTCTGACAGCAAATACAGTAGAGCTTATGTGATTGCTCTAAATGCATATTTCTTTGTTTTTAGCTGTTATTAAAGGAACTGGTTTGATAAACAGTCCAATGTCCAACCAATGATGGCTACTTCTTTTCCAGCGTACACAGATGACGTCGTAACAGCCATTAGGCAAAGCAGACGAGCAATAATTATTCTGAGTCCTGCCTACGTCAGTGGACCAAGCATCTTTGAACTGCAGGCAGCAGTAAACTGTGCACTAGAAGACAGGAAAATCAAACTACTTTTAGTAAAATTCCAGGCTTTCCAAGAGCCAGAGACTTTACCTCCAGTAGTGAAGAAGGCTTTACGGATTTTACCAGTCATTACCTGGAAGTCTTCTATTTCTGCATCTCCAGAAAAAAAGTTCTGGAAATATATGCGATATCACATGCCAGTGAAAACTACTAAGATGTTTGGGAATTACAGCCTCAAGGGCTTTTTCCAAAGGTGCTTAGCCTGGTTTATCAATAGCAGAAAGCTYATAGATAGATGACAGCAAGCTCAGGAACGGTGACATGATTGTGAAAAACCTTTCTTACATCAGGTTACTACTAAGGACTGTCACTTCGGTCAGCAATAGCGTTCTCCAAACTAGTGAGATAAACTGTAATATGGCAGTGCCTACAGTAGAAATGAGTGGCACTGTACAGCAACTGTAAATGTGAGTTAYATTTCATAAATTATTATTTTGTCACTATTATTATTATTTATTATCTTATTTTGTTCTGACATTGATAMATGTAAATGGTTTGCTCTTTGCAGTATATTTCTGCTGGGAGATATATTTTTATGTAATTTTATAGAAAAAAGATTAATAAATGGAACTTTAGAGTAAACTCATGTTTTAATTTTCCTATACAGTGCAGTGGCATGGATCTAAACTCTAAAAATAAACTCCTCCCTCCTGTAGAAGAATTTAGGAACAAAGTTCTGGGAAGCTACTGCAGGTCGGTAGGCCAAAGCGGTTGAGAGCAGGAGAGGAGGAGACTGCTTGCTAATGTAGGTATAAGCTGACCCTAAGAGATTCAGCATTGTTTTCTAGCACAACCAGACCAGTGGTTTGTAAAAAGAGTAACTGTCTGTAAATTAAATTTACTCATTTCTGGTGTGGGCAATATGGCCTTTAACAATGTCTAATCTACCCTACTACATTTGCACACTCTGTTATTCTCACACTTACCTTTTTTCTTTTTTTTTTTTTTGTTTGTTTGTTTTTTTTCTGGAGGAAGGGAAGTGACAGCCTCTCTAAAAATACATTTTGTAACTTGGTAAATATCTTGTTGAAGAAGGATAAGTGGTTGTCATGGGTAAAACAAATGTCAAATGCAAGAGGTATCTGACTTTCATTTTGTTGCATATGATCTGACACAGATATTTCTCTTTTTATATATATATGTTTTTTTTTTTTTCTAAAAAGTGTGACTAAATTAAACACATGCCTTTAAGAGAAATAACATGTTTTAGGGCTAAAGGAGGTTGTAATTTGCACGGTCCTCCGCCAGATGTCCCTCCAGCAAGCCCTAGGGAGTGCATTTATTTACACACCAGCTATTTTTTTTTAACAGGTGAGAAAGTGCCTGTGAGCGGTGCCAACTGTGGCACCTCAGTTGCCAGYGGTGCTGGGGAGGCAGGCGGCAGGGACAACGGGAGGGCAAGGCRCAGGGCAGGCTCTTCTGCCCGATCCCGGTGCCACTGCCTCTCCCGTCTGGTGCCCTGTGCTTGGGCTGCACTTGCTACCTGGGTGCTGCACATTGCTGTTTAGCTGTATTAGACAGGGGAGGGAAAACTGAGTGAATGGGAAAAGTATAGTTAGAAACGGCCTTATTCCATGACAGGGAGAGGCTGTGACAAGAGCTGGTCTGAGTCTGAGGAGCCTTGCGGAATCGCTGCGTTCATTGGATTTCCAGGTCTGGCTGTAACACAGGGAAGAGCACAGGCAGGTTACGACTTCAAAAATGGGTTCTATCAGGCAAGTGAAGCGTCCCTGATGAAGAAGCAGCTGGGAATATGAGTAGTGCGAATCGAGAGGTGTGAGYGTTGCATGCTTTCATGCACCTGCTGTATGTCACATCGCTAACAGAGGAAGGTCACAGTCCCGGTCATGGGCTCTCGTGTGCTCCTGTGTGCAAGGCTCTTGAACCAGGTGCTGTCGCTGTTGATGCTGGTATGCCATTCTGCTGCTCTTTATTCAGATGAGACCCATCTGGGCAGCAGTTTCTTGCCTGACTATGAATCTGACCATGAGGATGTTGTTGACTCTTCACAAGATGCAAGGCTGCATGTTTTCACATTTGATTATGCTTACGTGCAAATTCCTTGTGAAGTTACTCTTTGGATACTCCTTGCCTCTCTTGCAAAAATAGGTAAGTATAAAATGGGATCTTGGATCTTTCTGTCTGGATAGAAATTAGAAATGTACCATGTAACCAAATATTTACCAGGGATTTTTGTGGCTGGTATTGTTTTTACAGGTCCTGTACTGGAAAGAACTGTTGTGTTCTTTGACTTTGACAACTACGTATTTTCAACTCTAAATGCTTCTAGCTTATTAAAATAAATATATCACCTGTAACATTCATGTCACTTAGGTCATTCATGCTTATGAGTAGCAATATATCTCCTGTCACCCTAGTTCTTTTTTTCTTTTTTTTTTTTTCCTAACCTTTAAAATCATACCAGAGCCTAGAACCAGCCATAGCTGTAGAAATCAATAACAGATGTTTGAGACTTTAAGTGTATTTAGTCTGATGGGGGAGGAAAGTGAGAAGTATTCTTCTGTTGTGTAAATAAGAGGAAAGAGTTCCTTATGAGTCTGTATTTTAAATGTTTGTTGTTCGAAGTTTCTCTGATAGACTAATAGGGTATAGGTCATCAGAGAAGTAGGGCAAGTGCTATTTGCATCTTGCTTCTATTGTAGTTCGGTATATGTATCTGAACGAAGAAAGACAAACTCGCATAGAAGAAGGCTCTCCAGTTAACACAGAAAAAAATARCTCATCATCTGTCCTATAGCTTTATGGCTGGGCTCAAACTGCTTTTGCCGTTTAGAACTAGTGCAGCAAAAATATTTAAATGCAGCAGTAGATGACAACATCAGGAGCTCTGAACAAGTGTTTTTCCTGCCATGTGCTTTTCAAACATTGCTATAGGATAGTCTAGTATRTGTGACATTATTTTCTGGAGGTAGTCTGAAGACACTGTCAATTTTTCCTATTGTAGTCAAACAGCTGTTAAAGACCATTACTGCTGACCATGATTTGGCAGTTTCACAGTAGTTATTTGTTCGAATCCAACTCCTATGAACAGAGGTCTTTACTACTAAAACAATTAACAAAATTGTCATGAATGCAACTTTGCAACTCATCAGAGTGTGTTAACAGTGAGCATATTGACCAATATTTTTATGCATTTTCTATAAAAGCACAAGACATGCCATCTGACTAGTCTTCTCTTTCATCTGTATTTSAGCAAGAAATAATCTTTCAGAAGAGGAACTTAGTGATCCAGCATAGTGGAAGGACTTGTTCCTTTGCTGGGAATTTTCCAATAAAATTACTGTTGAAAAGTGTAGTGGTGTTGAATTCCAGGCTACTTTGGAAGATTAGCTAGTGTGAATAAATGTCCTAGGGAAGATTACCAAATTAAAAAGAAAATCAGTGTGGCAATCATAAATGATCTTTCTTTTGGATTTTCAGATTTTGGGGAGTGAAACATTTCTAAGATCTTGGAAGCCTTTATGGGATGGAAACATAATCATATCATTCTGTAAATTTAGCAGAAGATTGTGACTATATTTCTATTTTTTTTWATATTTTTTGTTAAAAGCAGTTGCGTTCGCAAGGAAGTCATTTTAAATTTCATAAAAATAATTTCCTCTTTCSTTTAATTGGAGCACTGCTAGTTTGAAAGTCACAGAAATGCAATTACGTCATTAACAATTCAGTTTATCACCTAGCTTCACCTAGCTCCAGATATGAAGATGCATTTACTGGATTTACATTTTTTTTCAGATTGCCTCATTCTCTTAAATTTAGATTTAAACTTTTTAGAATTTAGATCTAAATTTAGATTTAGACTTTTACATTTATGTATATGAGGCAGCTCTCACTCACAGTACGCTTATACAGTACCTGATGAACCATAATTAGAGATTACCACAGTAGCAGTGTCAAAGAATAATTATATGAATGCCCTTGCTGTAATAATACATCAAAGTGGCCGGAGGATATTATTATGATAAGTGCAGCCTTTTTTTCTTGACAGTTATTCAGCRAGGAATTGTTTCTTGTGTAGAATATTTTCAAAGTGTCTATGTGCAGTTCTTTAACTCTTYGTAAAATGGTGTCCAGATTCAGAAACCCAGAAAAGAGATTCTCAGCCAAATTCTTCCCCTACTGTAGCAATGCAAATCCAGACATGGTTCATTTTGAAGGAAATAGTACTGTTTTTGTATTTACGCTAGTAATTCTAAGAACTGAACCTGGCCTGAGGACAAAACATTCAGCGTTAGTCCAAACATCCATGTGGATGTCAGGCTAATTTAAACTTGAATAATATCCCCTTTTTTTTTTTTAATTCAAGGTTTCCATCTCTATCACCGATTACCAAAACTCATGCCTGAAAGTTGTGTCCTGATTGTCATTGGAGCASTAGTTGGAGCGATCATTTTTGTCACCGATCATAAATCCCCCCCAGTGATGAACACGAGCATTTACTTCCTGTATCTCCTTCCACCTATTGTTCTGGAGGAGGGTTATTTCATGCCAACTCGCCCGTTTTTTGAAAACCTTGCATCCATTTTATGGTGGTCTGTGCTGGGCTCTCTCCTGAACTCCTTTGGGATTGGCCTCTCCCTCTATGGAATCTGCCAGATAGAAGCCTTTGGCCTGACCGACCTCAACCTGCTGCAGAACTTACTCTTCGGCAGCATGATCTCAGCTGTTGATCCCGTGGCAGCTCTGGAAGTTTTTGAAGAGGCCTCAGTTAATGAGCAACTTCATATGATGATTTTTGGAGAGTCATTGCTAAATGATGGCATAACTGTGGTGAGTTTGTTTCTGTTTCTCTTTGTTTCTTCTGTTTCTTCTTTCCTGGAAGTTGTGTCTTGAAAGGTTATTTGGCASAGGGCAAGAGTAGTTCTGTGATCCTGGACATCTTATTGTATGGATACACTAGTGACAACTCACACATGATTTTAGATATGTAAAAACTGCATGTTATGTTAACTCTTTCAGAAGCAAACTGACATAGTGATGCTAGACAAGGAAAGCTGATAAATGTTCACCTTACTCAAGTGTATAGAAACTGCTTCTGGAGCAAGAGATACTTTTTTAAAAAAATATGAAAGGAGATATTTTAGAAAGCTCCTTTGGCTTTTCTCTTCTCTTCTCTTCTCTTCTCTTCTCTTCTCTTCTCTTCTCTTCTCTTCTCTTCTCTTCTCTTCTCTTCTCTTCTCTTCCCTTTTCCTATTAGCTCTACTAAAATTTGGAGCCACCTGAAATTCTTGCTTTGGGCCACATTTGACAAAAATATCTAGAACACATACCTTTTCCAAGTATGAAATTTCAAGCAGGAAATTCATTGCATGAGAACCAACAGAAACTTTCATGGGTTGAAAGAAAGTTAACTGGAGGTTAAGGAGTTTTGCTAGATAAGATCTTTATAGAATTTAAACACAGGAATCTGAGACACATTAAAAAAAATTCAGATACTAAATAGGAAGCCCAATGCAACTTGGACTTCTTGCCAAAATYTGTACAGAGTTCATTGCTGAAGGGCTTCGTGGGAGTAGTGCAGTTTACAAGGAATGTGAAAAGGAAAAGGAAAGAAAAAAATAATTTATTGTGGCTACAGCCTGTTGATCATAAATCCTTGATCTTGTTGAATTAGTGATGTAGAGCTGGTGCAGAATTAATGGTCCATTATTACTTGTGTTTGCACACATACTGCTTATATATTATAGTGGTTACAAAAACCAAAATGCATTTATCAGCACCACTTGTCTTTTCGGTTCTTTTAAGTGCAGACCTCAGAAAGTAACACCCATTTCTCACCCTGGAAGGGGTGGTTCAGTCGATCCATGTCCATCCATGTTTTAACTAGCTCTCTACCCTGTCTGCCCTTGGTTCCCAGATCTGTAGATGATGTGGGCTCAACTCATGATGGCATTTACATGAGCTTTCAGTCACGATCCTGCCACAGCATGAATTTGTGATAAGAAACCTTTWAAAGTAGTGGTATTTAGGCATTGCTTAGAGGTACCACATATGTTAGCAAAAGCAATGAAGGGCTGTGCACTGTGCACCATTGTGAACGGCTCTTGTCCCACTCACCTCGGCTCTGCGGCTGTGCTCACAGCTGCTATATTGACATCCATTTGCCAGCTACTGGAAACTCAGCTTCCAAGTTTCCAAATCCTCTACCTAGATTTGTATTTGACAAGGCTGAAATGTTTCTCACTCAGATGGAGACAATTAGGTATTTTCTTTTGATCTCTGGTATCCTCACTTGTTGTTTTGAAGTTCTTAAAACTGTTTACCTCACATGTCTGATCTTATCATTTCCTCCCCAGTTTCTCTCTTAAAAGCTTCCTTTGAGTTAACTCTGTGTGTTTAAAACGGTAGTATGACCAACATAAATTTGTGTACCTATTTTGCTATTGTTTTAATACAAATATCCCCCCAGTTCTCTCCAGCTTGCTTATGAGCTTGAATTTTTTTTTCTGCATCAGAAAAAAAAATGTAATAAATTTTGCTGAGCTTGTATGTTATATCTAAGGTGGAAATAATATGCACTCTCTCATATTTAGTTCGATAATCTGGTCACCAAATTAATAGAATATAGAATGAAAGTGGTGATTTTGGCATTATTTCTTTGACTTCAGGAACTGGCACAAATTTGGTATTTAATGCCTYTCCCATTTTCATTACAAGGGCTAAACTGGTAGGCAGAACAGAGGGCACTAAGTCCTGTTAATAACTTATTTTCTAATTACAGCCTCTGAGATGAGTGTTAGCATCACAGGACACGAACAGGAGCAGACCTAGCGTGAGTTAGGCAAAAGTGTTATTTCAAGGGCTCATCTAAAACAGTAACTTGTTAAATTCTGTCCAGATGCCATTCAAATCTGAAGACACCGAAGCTTTGTGGAGGAACATGTTTTCACTATAAAGCTTTTCAGCCTCTAATGTTCTGCTTCTGCCTGTAACCAGGTCACCCCTCTATTGACATGAGCTGAGCACCAGCATGCATCAGGAAACAAAATATTTCTCCTGACTACTTCACCTATGTAGCTTCATTTTAGAAATGTTTTAAGAACCTAGTAGGTGATGTTGTACTCAAAATGAAATGACAGTGACCACTTTCTGACACAGTGTCGTTTACCTCTCTGATGCCTCTTTGGAAGGCAGTTCTGCWTACTTTTTTAGGACGGTTTCACCTGGAATATTTTGTTGTGCTTCGTCTGTTCCCAGAAATACTAACAATGAGCCTCGTGGAAAACAGGCTTTGTGACAGCTCAAGGTTATATGTTCCCAGCAGCAATTTAAGATTAGATAATAGCTGGAGAATGATTATTGTTCTAATGAGCTTGACTCTTCTACCTGCAAATATCTGCTTTAATCTTCTTAATAGCTTTCTTAACTATATGAAGAAGAAAGACCAAAAATACTCAGAGAAGACAAGTGGTTCGGATCTGTTTTGTACTAGATGGCTTTTGGGACTAATGCTTTGGTAACAGCTATGGAGAATTGGTGATGTTAGGTGTTTTAAATATTCCCTAGAAAAATGAAAAGCAACCTTCCTGCAGTAAATGTTCCCTGCAAATACACCTGGAAGGATTTAATGGTAACCGTCAGCAGTCTCTAAGACCTTTTTATTATTTCTCCATTCATTCCTGTGAATGCCTTCTAACAGCTTTTGTAAGATGGATGAAAATGCAAAATACTGAAGAATTTTCATAATTAACTTCTGCAAAGAAAAATAATTAATAATATAAGTATGATAGCCTGTCTGAGCTAAACTTAGTGAAATTATCTTTATAGGCGGAGCTATAAAATGTAGTAAAATCAATCTCTCCAGTTATCTGACAATGTTTTCTTTTGCATTTCAAGCTTTCAGGTCAAAACATGTGTGAGAAGGGTCTTTAAGCCCAAGAAGAGCTTTTAGTGCCTGCTGTGAGACTGGCAGCACAGTTAACAGAGTTACTGCAAAGAAATTGAGTGGCACTCCCCTCTCTGACACTGCTGCTACACTAATAGAAAATTCGTAGGCAGCAGGATGGGCTGTCGAGCTCTGTCTACACAGGTCCCTGGGGGCAACCCTAAAAGAGAGTGCTAAAAATGAAGAGGTTTAGGACCAGAGAAGGGCCTTTTTCAGCCAGGCTCAGAAAGTGTCATTTGGATATTCTTAGCTGTGAAAATCTTTGTGACAGTCACTTGCTGTTGTTTTTCACTCCCCCCCCCCCCAAGAATCAATCAGCATAAACAATAACTACTGTATTAATAAGGTAACTCTTTAAAACTTTGATTAAATGACCTCTACTATTTCTAAAACCAATAATACAACAGTAACAACCATATTTATGTGGAGGCAATATGCTACTGGGATTGCAAGCTTTTGTCTCTTCTGCTCAGCTCTTTCCCATTGCTGTCGGGAAATTGCATCAGCATTTCATGAGTTTTATGCATCAAGTCCTACTGAAAAAAAAGACATTTAATGTTTCAAAATGTATACAATGAAGTGTGTCTAGTCTACTTTTCATGATAGACTGCCTAAATGGGAGTTTGAACATAGTGGGGATTCTTAGTCACCACTCTGCCCTGACTCATCTAGAGACAGAAAGATAATGGGAGGGAGAGCCYGGGGTTGTTAGAGTACATAGCTCTTGCTGCAAAGGCCCATACTGAAGTTTGYCTTCAAAAAAAAAAAAAAAAAAAAGAGCTTGAACATTTATTAGTCATGTCAAAGAAACCATCTAGGCATCTTCCCTTCAATTTGTTGTGATTCCTCAACATTTACTATTTACTTATTTTGCACAGTCACCCACCACACTTTTTTTGCTACCTGCAAGAGACCTGATAGACCCCTGGGACTTTTTAATAGCCAGATGATATTTCAACTGTTCTTTTACTGAGCTGTTGAAAGCAACATCTGGCTATATATATATATAAAACATGCAAGTCTGTCAGGTTTGGAAAGATATCTGACTGCCATCTTATGGTTTTCATATATAGGTGTTATACAACATCTTCATCGCCTTCACTCAGATGCACAGATATGAAGAGATTGAATCCATCGATATTCTTGCTGGCTTTGCTCGGTTCTTTGTGGTTGGGCTCGGTGGTGTGTTCTTTGGCATTGTCTTCGGATTTGTTTCAGCGTTCATGACTCGGTTCACCCACAACATTTCTGCTATCGAACCCCTGCTAGTCTTCATGTTCAGCTATCTATCATACCTGTCTGCTGAAATCCTTTACATCTCAGGCATTTTGGCGTAAGTATGACTTTTCAGATACCCTTATGAAGGAAGGGGCTTTCTTTCAGGGAGATTTTTTTTTTCTTGAGATATAATATGAACATTTTCAATGTATGTCCCACCAACTTGCAGTGAACCAAGAGCTGTATAAAATGCATTGGTAACTAGGAAAGGAAGCTTTTAGTCAATATGGGACTCTAAATATACTGCAGTGATGTGAATATCTGATCTTAAAAAAAATTAGTTATTTTCTTGTTGGAAAAAATATTGCAAGCTGTTGGTAAGATGAATAGTGCTGCCACCATCTGGTGGCATCTTTGGGCCTATGCCTGCAATTTGGTTCATCTGATAGTATTTGTTTAAGAAGAGAATCACAGAGAAGAGAAGAGAATGATTTGATCTGTATTTATTTATTTATTTTCTTATATGCAGCATCATCATCAAATAACGATAAAGAATATGAAAAAAGTAAAGAAAGGCTGAGTTCTTTCTTCTGTATAGAGTTGTGAATATCAGCTTTAACATGATATACTGCAATCACATTAAAGTTGAACAGCATCACTGGAACTGAAACAGGGCAAAAGTAGACAACACCAACCATAAAAATACACACAGTGTATATGTGCATACGTATGCATGCATGTATCCATATATATGTGGATGCTGACGTTTACGTCTTTGATATGGTAGAGGAGACACTACTGTAMCACAAAGGACTGTGTTCTTAATGTGCCGTGACTACAAGTGTGCTTAGTGCAGAGGGAAAATTGTCAGGCTGATGAGTTACGCAGTCAGTATGCGAGGATGAGTAAGGGAGCATTTTGGGAAGGAAAGAGGACAGATGCAGGAAAAAAGTCAAAGAGCAAAGGAATGGGAGTAACAGTGAGTGAAACTACAAGGAAATGGCTGATAAGGGAATCTGAAACATGCTATGCCAAACAGCAACTCAGAGTAGTAAAGAGATGGATTGGTGGCAGCAATCTTTACTCTGAGCTTGTTCATTGCAGGGCAGCAGGGAACTGTGGGCCCTGGTCCTCCTGAAGGACCAAGATTTATCTCCAGAAAGGAGGACGAACAGGTTTAACCAAACAGTCAGTGAATTATGTAATAAATTGACTATTCAACCCAGTTAAGTAGGTAGGTTGGAAATATGTTCCTATGATCTAATGATTAGACAGAGGACTGAAATCTTAGACTATTTTTTGCAAGTCCTTCACATTTGCTTTGACTGAGGTTGCAGGTGACCTTAGTTGAGCCAGGTGAGACTTACTATATTTTGGAGACTTACGATATAGTGAGTACTAATACCATAAAAACAGTGGAAACTGTAAGGTCCATAGGGACATGCGCTGCTCACCACATTGCTTCCCTGGCTGTTCATTGCACTATAATATTCATTCACTTTATTATTTTTTGTTTCTTATTTTTATTAGAATAGTGAAATTATTAGTAGTAAGAGAAAGTTAATACAATAGGGATTTATTATGCTTCTATGCTTCACTAAGGAAATTATTGCTTGTTTTAGGGATGGGAACTTTTTGTCACCCTCCTGAATTATTGAGGAATTCATTCATTTTTCACTTGGATCATGAAACTCTATTATGCATATGTCTCTGAAAGTCAACAGTATTAAACATTAATGCCTAATGGCCTTGTCTTAGAATGTCCTTGGACCTGCTAAATGTCTCAGTTCCACTGGCATGCCCATGAGATTGCTTCAGTTGAAATTAGTAGAAAATAGATGAAGGATTCCTTAACAAGCAGTCATCATTCTCTAAATTCCCAAGTTCAGAAAAATATCACTGCACAGAAGCCCCCAAAGACTAAGGTAATATCAACAGGAGCTAGTTAGCTGTGTGGTGGAGTATGTTCTTAGCATATAGAAATTAATCTATCTACTTATCTACAGCTGTGAAAAATGAAGGGGAGAAAAGGAATACATAGGTGCTCTATGGCCAATTTAACCAGAAACACAGGGAACAGAGGTAAAATCTTGATATTGATGAGGGAACATGCCACCACGTGACATATTTTACTGTCTTTGGTGGGATTACTTGAAAAGCAAGGTACTCAGTATGTATGGTATTGAGCAGTTGTGCTGGATTGTTGCTGATACCTTTGAACATATTTTAGCCTTGATAGAAGAGCAAATTGATGGAAAATATTCCTTCGGTTTCTTGGGCACATTGCTCATGTCCTGGATAATTGAGAGGGAGGAAAGAGAGCCTCTGGGATGACTGCATTTCCCTTGCCATGTAGAAATGAGCCATAGTGGGTGGGGAAGGACTGAGGCTTAGCCTCAATCTGCTTACGTGCCAGCCAGCTGGCAAGGCACAGCAAGGAGTTTTGAGCCCAGTTCTGGACTAGTCCCGTCCTTTTCAACCACCAGGTCAAAGGAAAAGATCACCGAGTGGCAGATTATGCCCCGTTAACTGATCTGCCCACCTGCAGGCTGGTACAGAATTGACTGCCCTTTGTTTGAGTCTCAAATATTTGGTTCCTTGTGCGCTACGCCCTCAGAATAAAACGTACTTTGAACTAGAATGTGATACTCTCACTTCCCTTTGGAGAAGGCTGGCTAATTTGTTTCCTTTTTCCTGCATGCAAAATGGATTTAAAAGCTCAATTAAGGTACATCTTTTATTCAGGATCATATAACTGACATTACTGAAGAAGTAAAATGCTGCTTTGTATTAGAAGGGGTACTAGAAGCTGGTGACAGACAGTGGAAAGTGCAGACAATGAGGGCTGAAGCTGTTCTTAAATCAAAAGACAAACAGATGGCTGTTGCTGATCTGTGATGTTTTGCCTGGTACAGGATGACAGCATGTGCAGTGACTATGAAAAAATATGTGGAGGAAAATGTTTCCCAGAATTCCTACACAACAATAAAATATTTCATGAAGATGCTAAGTAGCGTCAGCGAGACAATGATTTTCATGTTCATGGGAGTGTCAACAGTTGGGAAGAACCACGAGTGGAACTGGGCCTTCATTTGCTTCACCTTGCTTTTCTGCCTCATTTGGCGGGCACTGAGTAAGTCAGCTTTTGCAGGCAAGCTGTTCTGCATCTTTGAGAGAAACGTTTCAGTGCAGAAGTATGCTAAAAAATTTTGTGCAGACTGGTATAACCGGTTTAATAATGAGTTTACTAGGCGTGTGTTGCTGACAAAATCATTTCATAAATCTACACTTGCAGGAAAAGGAGGGGAAATGCCCCAAACGAATCTGCAAACAGTGGCATCCTGCAAGCACTAACTAAATGAGAGGGAAAGGACTATTTTAAACAAGATTAAAATATTTCCATGACTATGCCYATGTAGACACTGACATCTTAGTTAACTATCCCCTTGGGTAGGTGGACTTAATAATTTCATCACACAGTGTAATTAACTTACTAATTAGATAACGTACATCAGCATACCTCTGGTACTATGGCACTAAAGGTCTGTGGGTCAGAAATGCTTGAGGCTTTGAAAAAGAGGGAAAATGTATATACATACTAATAGATGAGTAAATTCAGGACTCTATTTGCCTGCTTATGCCACAGCCCCGGCCAACCACACCATATAATGCTCCTCACAAGTCAATTTGCAGAGTCTTTGAAGTGTTAAACTACTAGAAAATATTGCCTATCTGAAATTACTCTGCTTCTATACACTGTCCCTCTCAATTCCTGCAAAGGTCTCCAGTTCTCTAATTTGTCTAACTGGTATTCCTCTAGCATGGGYATCCCTCTGCAACCTGTACTGATTACAGCTATTTTGAGTTGGAAGTTGGACTAGATGATCACCACAGGTTTTCTACTTCGGGGYTAACAGAAAATCAAGCAACACACTGAATGTATCTATAAAGGGAAGCTGCAGTCTTTACATATRTACAGGGTGCTTCATTAATTTTAACATTTTATTAAAACAAAAACTGAAGCAAAGAAATGGTGAACTAAAGAAAGAATAAACCAGAGTAAAAGCTTTTATCCTTTGCTCAATGAACCTATGATTTGCTGGTGAAGCACTATTCAAGCAGCTTGGGCAGAYAGTGTGCAGAAAGTAAGAAACGTTGCAAGGAAAGGCACAGTAAAATCTCTCATCTAGTGGTTTATCTTGTCTCCAGAAAAATTCAGAGAGGAACTGTGTGGCATAAAAATAGATAATATTTGTCTAATCTCACTTCTAAACCATGGAAGTGAATTTAAGACATAAAGCAGTTTCAAAAACACATTTTTTTTTACAGAATATTTCTCACAGTTCCTTTAGTTCATTGAAAAGCAAATACAAATGCCTAAAACCAAATAGAAAGGCCTTTCAGCAGCTTCGTGGGCCAAGATGGTATATTGCGTTAAGTGTTTCTTTTCTAACTGCTAAAGAACAGTATCTTTGGTTGTTTTTTTTTTTCCTACCTAGGTGTATTTGCTCTCTTCTACATCAGTAACAAATTCCGAACATATCCCTTCACCTTCAAAGACCAGCTCATTATTTCCTACAGCGGCCTTCGGGGAGCCAGTAGCTTCTCTCTTGCATTCCTGCTTCCAGTGCATCTCTTCCCTAGAAAAAACTTGTTCATTACCTCTACTCTGGTAGTTACATACTTTACTGTGTTCCTCCAGGTGGGTGGATTTCTTAACAAGTTGTTTGTATATAACAGAATTGACTGAAAGATCTATAATGCAGATTGCAAGGAAATTTACTCTTAAACTAGGATAAAATACTACAGACAGATTTAGGGAGATAATTATGGCCAGATTTAGCACTACACTATATAATTACTTTTTGAATGCTTTTAGGTATCATTGATTAACTTTTCCAGAAGAAATGCTGAAAACCCAAGTCTTCTAAAATGTTCAGAGAAAAGAGTCTAGTGTTTCCAAACTCTTTTCTTTTCACTGCACATGCACTTCATAATGTATTCAAAATAAGAAGCATTTTAACTTTACATTTCAGCACAAGCAGAGTTATTCCTTACCAAAACAAAACAAAAACTATCAACAAACAAAAAAAATGGACAGAAGACAGTAATTCCGTCTTATGTAGGATTTGAACTTTGACATTTATCTTCATTCATTTTGGGACCAGAAGGAAGCAGTTTGAAAATCTTCCTAAAAGAATATTAAAGAAAATGTCATATCTGTAAGAACAGATGTCTAGTGTAACTTCCTGTGCTTTGAGTTGTTTTACTTGGTTTACAGTGCTGTACCAGGAAGAATTCAATTATGGGTACAACTTGCACGACATTTTCTCTATTTTGCTGTACAAATATCTCAGATAGCTGAAGGTGTTGATGGGATACCGTGCAATTGTGTTTAAGTGCTCAAATCTCTAAAATGCTAAAATGTTTCAGATAAACAATTTTCTTTCAATTCCCCTTTTTAAATGCTAGATCCTGTAATAATGCAACAGAGAATTGCAAGAATCTAAAAATGGCTTTAAAATAATAAGAAAAAAGTTTCATTCTGAAAATGTTGAAGTAAGAAGTTTCAAGACTGAAAGAACCCTMAAATGAAGTTTTATTTTTAATGAGTGCTGTTTTGGTGAAAGCTGTAAATAGGCTAGTTCCTTTACATAGGTAAAACACTGATAAATCTAATTTTGAGTAGGAAACCTGGTGCATACTTTTTTTTTTAAAAAAAATGAATTTTTATTCTTTTCTATAGCTGTCTCTGCAGGTAACAGGTCACTCTTCTAAATACAACTTTTCTGACTGACTAAAATGAAATTCTTTGCTTTTTTTGCTTTTTTTTTTCTTTTGTGCTTTTTCTAAAGAATAATTAACATTTCAACTCATTGTTCCAAATGTAGGGAATCACAATTGGTCCACTGGTCAGATATCTAGATGTTAGAAAGACCAACAAAAAGGAGTCCATCAATGAAGAAATTCATGTGCGAGTAAGTTTTTGGYGTCAGTAACTAGTATTATAGAAAAAAACAAGAGGAGAAAAGGTATCAGTTCCAACATAGCTGGAAAGAGAGAGATTCTAGCATGGTGGATCACTGGCATTTGATGGATTTGGATACTTAATGTTTTTAAGACTACTTGGAGGAAATTTTCCAAGGCATAATATTCTAAAATATGATTTCTCTTTTGTATTGACAGAGATTGCCATATTATTATACTGTACTATAATTGTTGTGACATAGCAAAGCTTGATGAGGGACGGTGGTAAACTATTTTCAAAGCTATAGAATAAATCATTTTCCAAAGACTGAATGATGCAACAACAAGATATTAGATTCTAGTTCTTACATCTGGATGCTTGTGACCATGGCAGCACAGAAATATAAAAGCAGACTTTACAGAATACATTCATCCTCCTTTCCAGCTATATTTGTCAGCTTCCATTGTTGCCGTCTGGTTCTTGCCACAGCAAAACTTGGAATCAGTCATTATAATCAAAGTGATGTGAATCGTTGGTCTGCAAATTTGGTTTCAAATTCTGAGAAATTATCTTTCTCAAGCATTGGCTTTAACTTTTCAGATTACCAACATGTAAAATATTAGTTGACAGAGTAACAGTCAGACTTAACAATACTCTAAATAATATACATATATGGTTTCATTCTCAACATAGGAAATGTATTTGAAATACGGAATAGAAACATTGTGCCTTAAAATTAAGGAAATGTGGAGAGATGAGAAAAATCTGTGCATTTTAACTTATTTGAACCTGGTGTGAAATTATTTCTTGCTATTTAAATCTTTATAGTTAGTTTTGAAAGTAATTCATGTTTAAAAACATCATATATAATAAAATGTATTCAAAAATAGTCCATTTTCAAACAGTTTCAACAACTCTGGAGACATATAAGARAAAAATGAACAGTCTGGTAGTTATGAATGATTAACAGACCAATCTTGAGACAATATTCAGAATCCTTGGGGCACTTGGCGAGTGTCACAAGGCAAGGCAAGTGAGGCTTCTGGCCGTGTGCCCCTCACCTGTCAAGGAGGTGATGCATGGGGAGAGGAAATTTGCCTGAGAGAAACAAATATTTAAGATTAAGATTAAATTAAACAATTAAATTAAAAAAATTATTGCCATTGCAAAAAATATTGCCATTGCAGCTGAATATAGGAGATGCCACAGTAGGATGTTTCTTGAACTTTTAGAGAACTGTAAATGTTTTCAGAATTAGCTCCCTCATCACCTCTTTTAAAAAAATCAAAATCCTGTTAACAATTGTTTATTTGTGGTGACATTATTTTCTCATAATGAACACTTAAAATCTTTCTGTGTTTGTTTCTCTAGCTGATGGATCACTTGAAGGCTGGTATTGAAGACATATGTGGACACTGGAGTCACTATCAACTGAGAGATAAGTAAGCATCTCTTATTGCAGCCAACTATAATAAAATAAACCATCTATGATATAAACTGCATTAGGTAAATACATCAGGAAATACATCTTGTGACCCATAAGGCTAACATAGCATGAAGTACTGGGAACATTTCTTATCTGTTTTTAAAAAGTGAACTCCTGAGTAACCATTATCTCTCGGGAGTGCAGTGCGTGTATATTTTTTGCTAAGTTGCTTCCACACAAACAAAGATAAAGTAGGCCTTCTGAAAGAAAAACATGACACATATATGCTTGCTAGAGGCATATAAACAGCCTATAAACATGGCCTTGACAAAGATCTTAAACTGGTAATGCTCTTTTAGTTTTGGATTTAGAGCAGAAGATAAGAGTAAGAAAACGGTGCTTCATTTCCCTTCACTATAAGTGGCCACAGCAAAAAAGATCCTCTGTTGCTAAATACAAATTAAATAATAATTAGTCATTTGTCCTTACAAGTCTTGCATTCAGTCATAGTTTAAATATGAATGAAGCGAATGGCTGAATTTAAATAGCCACTAGCATATGCAGATACTACCTTTGATATGATCTACACTCAGGAAATGTTATGATACTAGTGTTATGTCTTCTGTAGTGTCATGAGGCAATTTTGTGAAGCTCTGTGTATTGTCCAGGCATTGCCAAAAGAAGACATGGCATTCTTAGTTGCTATTTTCTTTGTACGTTTTTATTAAAGGAGTCCTGTGATCATATTAGCCACCATTTTGGCTTGTGAAGACAATATATTGGGATAGAATAATCATCCTTTTCTACAAGCACCATATTCTGATGCCATGCCATAAAAGCAGTTCACTAGAGTATATCAAGACATGTTCAGGAGCACGTTAGCTCATTCCTCAACATTGGACCCAGGTGATGCAGACTGGGGGGCTGCCTGTGCATATGAAAGTCCCTTCATGTCTGATTTTTRTCTTATGGAAATCAGGCTATCGGAGGGGTAAGAAAGCTGCTGTTCTACATCTGGTTTTGTCACAACAGGGAGTAAAGCTCCAGCAAGGCCACATATCTGGAACCAAAAGCTCAAGAGCTTTAGGTTCTTGCCTAGAGAATATCCATGTGGCCACCATCTATGTGTCTATACAGTGAATAGGCTAACCAAATTCTTCTTGGAGTGGTAATTCCAATTACATATCTGCATTTCATATTTCAAAGAAATAAAACACATTATTTCTCCTTATCTCACATGTATGCACATCTGTGATAAGAAAAATTTGTCCAAATTAGTTGTAAATATAGTGTTTCAGTTCAGCTGCAGATAAAAAAGATCTGTAATGTAGACRAAAATATTTAATGTACGAAAGGTTATATTAAAAGGTGCTCTGTAGCTGTTTGTCAAGTCTGTCTGGAAAAAAGATTAAGCAAAATGACACTCAATGTAGCTTCCTGTTACCTAGAAAAACAAAAAGAACTCTAATCCTAGTGGAATCGTATTTGTGTACCTCTTTGGGCTATTGCAGTAAGTTTAAAATAAACCCTTTGTTAAGCCAAAATGGATAAGCTCTATAGTGCTTCTCCTAGCACTGTGGACCACATTACCTTGCTGCAGTAAACAATTCCTTTGAAAGATATTTCTAAGACGATCTTCTGTTATTCTACTAAATGTCTGCTTGAAAGCACATACCTGTTTCAAAACACATACATACATTTACATTCAAATTTTGTCATGCATTAGCACTATTTTTTAATCTGCAATGTGCATGCACATAGAATTTCGTGGTCCATTCAAATTTTCTGTTATTCAGAATACAAAGCAATATATTTTCTCTGCTCTAATTGTCAGGATTCAAAATTATCAGCAGCATAATGGGCCCAAACTACTGTAACTACTGGGACATTAAGAGCATTATTGGTGGCTGGCTGAATAGTCCAGGATTACTGTAAAAGCTGCTGCTGCTGTTATGACCTATTAGAATACAACTTTTGTACAAAAGCACGGAGACTGGCCATATTCCTTTCTTACAAATGAGGCAGTGTTATGTGAAAACACACACCAGCCCTCTGTTTTCCTCTGATTGCAGCTTGTTTCTATCTTTTGTCTAGTGGTCTTTACAGTCCGTGTGGACCAGTAGACCATGCCAAATGTCCCCGAAAAGTCTGTGTTGACGAGGCCTTCAGGAGTCTACAGGTGTCTCTAATTTAGATTCACTTTCCACCACTGAATTATATAAGTGTGCATTTGAATGAAGATGAGTTTGTCCCATAGACATCAAAACACATTTCTTCTTTACTCTTTGTTTTTAATACCTCCTTTGCAGATTTAAGAAGTTTGACAATAGGTATCTGAAGAAAATCCTAATTCGGGAACATCTGCCCAAATCCAGCATTGTGTCATTGTACAAAAAGTTGGAGATAAAAATGGCCATTGAGATGGCTGAGAGTGGCATGATAAGTTCAATAAGTTCAACAACACCCTCAACTTCTTCACAGTGAGTACTGGCCTCAGTAAAGTGGAGCAGGGTACAGGAGAGAAGGGTACAAAAATGGGTAAACATACAAATGGCTTTATGACATTAATAGAGGCATAGCAAATCAAAACAATTATGAGGAGTTTTTATTTTATGCTGGCACTTTGCTGCTTGTCATATTCTAAATATTTATTCATTGAGTGATAATTAAAAAAATGTGACATTTTCATTATTTTTCTCTTCAGTGACAGGCAGTGCTGAAGTGGCATCATGAGTATATATATAGGAGTATTATACAGGCCCCTTGGGATAAATACAGGAACGTTGTCAGGGAATGCAGGGATGCAACAAGGAAACCTAAGGCACAATTGGAATTAAATCTGGCATGGGATGTTAAGAGTAACAAGAAAAACTTCTTCAAATATATCAACAACAAAAGGAAGGTCAGGGAGAACGTGGGTCCACTAGTGAATGGGGTGGGTACCCTGGTTACGAAAAACACGGACAAAGCAGAGCTGCTGAATGCTGCCTTTGCTTCTGTGTTTGTCAGAGGCAGGCCT